GCAGTTTGGTTGTTCGCGTATCGCGGTCAATTTCGTGACACATCTTGCAGTAGACGAAATCCTATAGGATAGATGTCCCAATTACTGCCACCTTAAGATTGTAGAGTAACTTTATTTAACCGTTTTACGTGTTGCGCATCATAAAAATTGGCTCAGTTAGGAACACAATATTATTTAACATCTCCTCCATCGAGTTTTATACATTAAATATGAAGAATTAACTAATAATTACTTAAAATATGCGAGCAATCCCAGTCCCCAGAACTTTCATCTCAAAAAAAAATTTTTTTTTCAAAGTATTCCTATTTACATTAACAATTCATTTTGTACAACCTATATAGGTTGAATAGTAAAATTATGCAAAATTAAACAAATGTTCGCTCGCTCGTGCTCGCTCAGCGGTATACACCAAACGAGCACTGAGTGAGAATGCTCGCTCGCTTGGTGAGTACGCGGCTTACTGTGACCGGTGATTCGCGACGAATAAAAAAAAGAATAGTCGGTTTCAACCATTTCCGGAGTGTTGTTGCATTTGACCGAACTGACAAAAAACCGGACGAGAGACATCTGCTCGATTAATTCTTCTGAGAAACCCTGGTCACAGGTGTGTGACGGTGAGGTCGAGACTAACCGTACGAGTGTCACTTACGTGCATGCAAACCCTTAACATATTGAGTATCATGCCAACTTCACGTGACTTTCCATTCACACCAATCACCCCGCATGGACCACTGGTGGTCCACATTAGTTCATTTATTCCACAGGGTGTCCCAAAATAGCTTCGACTCCCGGAAACGAGGGATTCCTGGGACGATTTGAAACAACTTTTTCCTTAGCAAAAATGTTATCCGAGGCTCTGTTAACAAGATATTAACGAAAAACCCCAACCAATCAGAGCGCGAGTCTGCCAGCCGACTTCCCGCGGTAGCGTTGGCTACCAATCTCAGCGCGTAGCCAACATTACCGCGGGAAGTCGGCTGGCAGAATCGCGTTCTGATTGGCCAGGATTTTTCGTTAATATCTCGTTAACAGAGTTTTAGATGACATTTTTGCTAAGGAAAAAGTTGTTTCTAATCATCCCAGGAATCTCTCATTTCCGGGTGTCGCAGCTATTTTGGGACACTCTGTATATGCTTGTAAGATATGTCACATAATATTTATAAGATGACAAAAATAATTACACTATTCAACACGTAAAATACCTCACAACCGTTAATAGTCGTTTCTGATAAATCTTTATGAGCTAAGTACAAATCCCGATAATCGTTTTGTCTCAGCGCGTCCAAGTTTTGAAAAAATCAATTTTTAAATAAATTGCCAATTTTCATCTTTGGAGGTGTGTTATGCTTTTACAGTAATAATTATTCGGTTTCTTTTGACGTGAAATGCTAAACACTGGCAAGGCAACCGTCGTTATTGAGTGCCACTGTCGTCGCCATGTGTTTTGCTGAACTACACACCAATATATCGCCATTTACAACACCTTTGCTTAAAAATGCCATTCACCGATTTTACTTAGACGTGATTTCGTGACTCCAATTCAACCCAGATAGCCCATGACGCCTTGAAGACAACTTAAAGGCGCCTCAGACCTAAAATAGCCGTAAAATGGATATCTTTAAGGCGTCATGTGCTATCTGGGAAGGGTCTCCGATCTCCGCGTTTGCGTTATGTAATTTAGACGTTGACACTTATTGGTGAATCTTTATGACGCCACTGTCCTGTTGAATGACTGTCACCGGAAATCGTCATGATGGTAGTCAACATAGACAATATTACAATATATTATTTTCATCGTTAATGATGTTGAATATGACTGACTGTTTCCAAAGTTTAAAAGACCCGAGTTACCAAAAAAAAAAATATCCAGTACAATGCACCAGTTCGGTTGTATTCGTTATGTAAATTATGTAATTGAATTTTCTGCACCTGCCAGCACTTTCTGTACTGTATTAGTGGACGCTCGCATTTTTTGAGAAACTGGTTTACATGATAGCGCAACAAGTATCGCCGGGTGAGTCAGCCGTACCGGTAACCGGCTTCGTTTCTCTCTCTCTCTCACTCATTCACTGCACCCTGTTTCTATCTTCGTTGCCGTTCTGTCCTTCCTCCACACCACCTTCTTCCTTTCTGTCTCAATTTTTCATCCTTCTCTGGTTTCGAGCCTTCTCTCTTTGTCTAATTCAACGCAACATAGTTCCGGAGGTTATTTTCTACCCTGTTTCTCTGGCAACCGAGAGATTGCTCTTCTGTACCTTCCAGTTTCCCTTCTTGGTCTTATTAAATCCCTGACAATCCAACGGTGGGTACTCTTATAATACGTCTCACGAATGTGCGAACAAATTCGGTGTATGGATGTGTAACAGATTTCTAAAACTTCTCGTAATTTCAGATCATCCAATTAAGTTTTACGTTAGAGATCAAAGAAATAGTCGAATAAAACTAAAAGGAGCAGTAAATAATTTTGTTCGAATAAATTTACGCGTTTCGAACCGATCACTCCAGTGCGACTGATCCTTCTTCTTCTACCCGCGCGATTTCTCCTTGAGGCTCTCTCTTGCTCCTTTGTTTCCCAATGCTCTAACACTTTCGAGTGAATCGCAACAGGCGACTTCATTGCGTGCCGTTCGCTCGTGACTGTTCAGACAACGGAGGTTCCTTCGCCACGCGGATCTTTTGTCTCCTCGGTTGTTCTCGAATTTCGAACACGATACGTTCAAAACGATCACTAAAAAATGATCGAACAGTGGTTTCCAAGCGTTCTGTGATCCGATGTAGTTAAATTCTTTGTGCAAACTTGGTGTGATAATGTAACGTTTGGTAGTGACATAAACAAAACAAAAGAAAAATCAAGAAAAAGTGTTTTATCAATTATCTGGAACATTCAATGTAAGTTTTATATCGTAAACATAATTTATAACATATTAGTTTCTTCAAGTGGGCTTTACGTTCACAGACTGTCATTCATGCTACATAGTTATCGCACGGTGGAGCATGTATGTACATCATAAATAAATACCAGGGGTACAATTATACAAATTTGGGTAACGGGCTAAACTCCAAACAAGTATTCCGTAATATTGTTTGTACTCATGAATGGAAAATTGTGTTTTGCCACGTGTAACGATAATGTTATGGATTCCCAATAATTTTACACGTGTTTCATGGAAAGGCTTGTCGTACGTTTGAACTCGTGACATACAAAATTTGACTTCCCTTTTCCTACCGGATCCCATATATCGACATGTGTTCGATGCAGATTACACAGGTTAAATTGCGACCGATAAATTCCTCATTCAAACAATGAAATTCGAATTGAAAGACTAGGTAGTGAGAAGAACATGTTCGAATAATTCGTCATTTTCAAATCATTTTTCGAAGACGGAAGTAAAAGTTTCGTAGAGCGGTTACATTAGCTAACTGGTCGAAGGAGTTCTCCGGTTATATGTTGGCGACCGAACGGCGTTTCACCTAGAAGTGACTCATTCCCTGTACAATAGCGTCTTGTTTGATATCTTACTAATGAATGTTGCCTGTCATCTGTCATGTATAACGCACATATGGATGATACCAGGAATGGAATTTGAATTCTTTACATGATTACGTAGTGAATATGTTTATAAAACAAATCGAGGTACAAATGTGTTTCAGAGTATTTGATTCTTTCGTTATCATCTCCAATAATTTCTTGTAATACAGTTACATGAATACAACTCAAAATAAAGTACTCTCAAGGATTTTCTTTAATGGTTTCGTGGATGCCGGTCGGTTGACAGTTTTCGTTGGGACGAAGTACGTTAAAGATAAACGTCGGTTGCATAAGGCTTCATTTACTTAGTGGGAGTGCCTATTTTTGCTTATACGATGCGTTTGCGATAGACTTCGCCTGAGTACACGGACAGCCATTTGCAAATAGGGGTTCCACATTCGTTCGAAAAATACCGGTAATCTGTACTAGAAACTTCAGCTACGGTATAACACAGACAGTACATCAGATTTATACATACTAACTTCAATTATCTGTACGTTTAAAACCATTGAATATCCGAAACTTACAGTTTACAAGTAGCAACAAGAATTGCTATACTATCATCCGAACAAGGTGAAAGCTTATGTAACATAAACAAAGAACATTCTTTTCAAATTATACTATACTCAGATAGCACATGACGCCTTAAAGACGCCCATTTTTCAGCTATTTTAGGTCTAAGGCGCCTTTAAGCCGTCTTCAAGGCGTCATATGCTATCTGGGTAGTAGCAGCTCGTTTAATGCATGATTCGGGGACTCTAGGGAGCTAAATTTCCAGGAATAATGCGTTAAGCGAACTCCAGTCCCACGCGAGCTCTCCCCGTCGATCGTCCGTTCACTTGTTCGACGTAGCTAGATACATATAGGGTGAACTGGATGTACGCATTTTTTTTATTATCTTAACACTAACTGTACCGAGACTTTTATATACCTATTTGTACCGTATTTAAAACCGGTCATGGTACAGTTAGTGTTGACTATGTTTGTTATTTTTAGAGATATCAGAAAAGTTTATTTAGACAAGTTATTTAGTGTTGAAACATTGAATAATTATTGAGAGCATGGTCTTCAGCAACGATTTCAATGGCCTTGAAATATGCAGTCAAGTCCATCATCCTGAACAACTTTTCCTTATACATATAATAGGCGGAATGTTTTAGTTTCTGAGATATTCGTGCAAAACTGCTCCTACTAGTACATTGACGTGCTAACGCGGTTGCCGCTAGGGTAAAAAGTGGCGTAGGAACTCAACCTCCTACCATTTGGTTTCGGAAGTTACTGAAATTTATGTCAAATTAACATTCAGTTTACCTTTTATTTCAGTACCTGTCTTAAATTTACCAAGTGGTATGCGGCCCTTCAACTACGCTTCTTTTTTCCCCTAGGGGAAGCCGAGTTCGCTCGTCGGTGTACAAGGGTTAATGGCAACATATGATTGTTACAGATTTCTGGTAAAACAGGGAAAGGTTCGCAAGATGTCCGAGTATTGCGAGTATATGTGGGATCCCACGAGAGGTCACGCGAGTACTGCTTTGGCACGGAGTATCTATGAGGAGGAAGCCAGGTTCGACAAACGGGACAAGAAACTGGCCATTAAGACTGTCCGAGCGATATTACGAGAAATACCGGATGTAGGTAAGAGAAAAGTTCATCTGTATATGTAAATGTTTTTCAAATAAACTTCATGATGCAAGAACTACCTAACCAACGTTCCAATGATTCTTGCCGTTCGTTGTAAAAAAAGTTTACGACTTTCGCCACGAGAATCATTAACACAGCATGTACATTAATGGTTTCAGTTTTTTCTGCTATATTCTTCTACTAGCGTGTCTTTCTACGAATGTTGAATAAAAATATTTTCTTATTATTCCTATTATATTTTTTTCAGCAGCATAACCATTAAATACTCGTATGTAGTAGTAGTAATTACTGTGTAACACGTGCCGTTAACCGTGGTAAATCCGTCTTGTCTAGTTCGCTCTCAACACGTTGATTCTCGAATTTCCGGCATAATATCCGCGTTCAAGCTGCTTCCTGTCGGATATTTTTTCATGTGAAGCATTACAATGCCCTGTGCTTGTGTTTCTAGACTTGAAGCATTGCACGGACGAATACATTACGCGTTTCCTGCTGGCTCGGAAGTATCGCACGGAGCAGGCTGCTACCCTGATAGCTGCTTATCAGGCGCAAGTAGCACATCGGCAAGATATATTCGGCAATTTAACGGCAAGGGACCCAGCGTTGCAGCGCGCGCTGCGCGCCGGAATACCGGGTGTACTTCCGGCACGCGATAGGTATCGATATCTTCCACTTTGAATATTTATATTCTAATTGGTTATATCACAGACGAGGTATAGGAGTCGACATTTCATCCAATGTATTTTTTCGGTCCACTTTTCTGGGTTAGGTTCACCGTTCTCCATTGGCGTAATTAGAACTTTTTCCGGGGGGGGGGGCAAGTCCCCTAAGTTTCGCCCTTAACACTCCCCACCAGGCACCTGTCCGTATTTTATACCACATACATGGGTTGCACAAAATAAAGTTACACATTTTGTAATAATTATTTATATGTTTATTTAACAGTAAAATTAAGAATAGAAGAATATAAACATAATTCTTAAAGATAGAAGAAATTTGAGATTGATTAAAATCGAGAGTATATTATGTGCAGATACCTACAATTAAGATTTATCATGTATAGCTTCAATTTGCTGTTTTTTTTTCTGTAAAAGATTTTTTTCCCATTCTCGAGCGCTAGTTCCCTTAATTGCATCTGCCTTTCAATTGATGTTGCACGATTATTAGTTAAGTAGAATGTAAAAATTAAGCAGCTTAATTCTAATACAGTTTTACTTAATACTTTAACGTAGTAAGGATAGTATTGTATTTTTTGTACTTAGTTGCGTTGCGTATTGCATTTCGGCCCAGGTATTTATTTTTTGTAACATAAGATTTGACCAACTGACAAATGTTTTTGTTACATATTTTAATCATGTCTCAACGGGGGGTGGGGGGGGCAGTCCGTATTCTGGGGGCGCCAGGCCCACCCTGGTTCCTACCTAGTTACGCCAATGCCGTTCTTATAACGTAAAAGTCACAGGCTTTTTAAGGTGTTGGTACTACAGTTTAGGTGGGCCACCAACTCCCACAAGATGAAAAGTCTATTCTTATACCTCGTCGGTGGTTCTATCTTATAAATCATATGTCGTTAACATATGAGAACGTGCTACTTTTCGTAACGCACGCCGATATAATATGCAGGGGTTTCATTTAACTTCAAATATCTCGAGAAATACGCATCGTACGTGCGGCGGAGTCGGCGTAAATGAGTTAATCGTTCGATTTTTTCAATGGGAACCCCCATGTTTCATTGAATATGCTTTAACGTGGATCAAATACTAACAAAGCGGTACTTGTTATCCGAATGTTCTGTCGGGAGTTTTTTTTTTTAAATAAAAGTTACGCCGCCACGTAATATAAATATAAAATATTGAGAGTTTATTTGAAACATTTTTTCGTACGATGCGTATTTCTCGAGATATTTCGATTTGTCAAGTTAAATGAAACACCCTGTATATGTATAGAACTAGGAAACATAGGAACCGGGCAAACGGGACTTCTTGAATCTGCGAATGGCCAATTTGTGTTGCAACAATCACAGTCACAGTGCCCTAATATATTTCCTAGTTTTCTATTTCTTCTTAACGGATCTGAGGATCCCGATTCCATATGTATGAAAAATATTAATAGGAAAAAATTAATTAATATTTTTCAAATATTCTAGGAAAGGTAGATGCGTGCTGGTTATTTTAGCTTCGCAATGGGACCCCATTGCGGTACCAGCATTATCAGTGCAAAGGGCTCTTTTCTTGGTTCTGGAAATTCTTATTCAAGACCCAAGAAACCAGGTATTATATACAGTATTTTAATATACATTTACTTTTACATTGTGAATACGCAAAGTATAGCGGACTCCCTATTAACCGATCCGCACTCAGATAAAACAGGACGTCTTAAAGACGCCTATTTTACGGCTATTTTAGGTCTAAGGCGCCTTTAAGCCGACTTCAAGGCGTCTTGTGCTATCTGGGTATGATACCAGACCTGTGATTGTATAAACAAATGGCCTGTCAATCCGAAAATATATGCCAAATATCATTTATAAAATTAACATAAATAAAAAGTAAAACTAATAACCATTTACACAACGTCTAATACATTAAAAAGTACATTTAGCATTATACGCGTAACATATCAGGAACCTAGAAAATTTTCTATGTTATAACAAAATTAAATCCGAAGAGTACATCAATTGTGTTCTCGCTGAGCCTGTAAACGAAACGTGGTCGGATAGAAGGGAATCTACTGTATTTTTAAGTTATATTTTTACTTCAATGCTACAAAATTGTGTAAAAAACATAAAAGTCTTCAGTAAACCTTAAATAACAGCGTTTCAATTTCTTTTACAGCAATACGGTTTCGTGGTTGTGGTGGATTGGAGTGGATTCTCTTTACGACAGGGCGGTGCCTTGGGTGTAGCGGCACTGCGAAACTTAATAGCCGCTCTTCGCGGACGATTTCCGGCCAGATTCAAAGCAATCCATTTCTTATCCGCACCTCTCTACGTTCAAGCCACGTTGGCCCTCGTGAAACCCTTTTTGGACGAAAAGACTCGAAATAAGGTGAAGCTAATTTTTCATAGAATATTTCATGTTGTTCCAATACCTGCCTTTCATTGAAGACGCTCATTCTACGTCTCAGGCGTCTTTAAGCCGTCTTTAAGGCGTCATGTGCTATTTGGGGGCTATACTGAACGTGACTATATGAAATGCATATGTGCTTTGATAAATGTTTTAGCAAAATGAAAATGAGGTTCTAATTATTAACATTTTCAGGTAATATTTTCATATTCTAAATCAAACTTGGGAATTAACTGCTCTTTTCGGCCGATTTTCAGAAAGTCCTAGTGCTCGACGCACTTCAGGCGTGTACCATATGGACTACGCATGGCGCATTAGAGCAACCGCATACCAACAGGTTGCCACATCACTGTTATCGATAATCACATCATTATGTATTATTCTATTTAAAAAATCAGCAATTTGAAATCAGTCCTTATGCATATTAATTAGTAGGCGATTATTAACTATCAACTTGGAAAAACTCACAAGCTTCACTCCGAAAAGCGATATTTAATATTATGTTCCATGTCTCAAACAGCCTAAGCACGCTTCAGTCTGTGCGAAAACCTAACTCTGATTACAATTCTGATGGTAAAATTTCAAAGCATTTTTCAAATATATTTTTAAACAGTGGAATAGGCCTACAAGGGATACTATTGACAAAAAAAACGCATCAACAATAGTATATATGTACCATGGGTGATGTGAAAACCTGTTGACACTAGTGTTGTTAAACTGAGCCTCGAGTCTTGAGCTTTAATAGCTCGAGTCGCGGTTCAAACCATGGACCTAAAGACGGTGCATAAAGTAGACTTTTGGACGCGCGGAGTGATGCTTTGAGGGGAGGGTACGATCCATGTTCAGCCATATTGTGCCGCTAACCAAGTGCTTAGCGGCACAATATGAAATATAGTCTGATTTATGTCGGGTTTGGACTTATTTTCATCGGGAGAATCTCCTAAATTTATTCATAACATTTAAAAAAAAATACACTGAAAGGAGTAAAAATTAAAATTTTTATTCATACGTTATGTCGCAATACAAATTGTATGATCTTAAAAATAGTCTGACTTATGTGGGGTTTGGACATATTTTCATCGGGAGAATCACAAATTTTTATTCATCCGTGATTCATTCTATGTGTTACATTGTAACCCGAGCGTCGGTCGGCGGCGGCTTATAAAGTATCAGATAACATAGAAATGTTACTCGCCGAGGCTTGGCTGGGCAGAGCCTACATAGTCTCCCTTACACGTCATAAAACTATCATTCCGGCTCGCTCAAGCCGGCCGACCCGAGCCGGGGAATCGTTGGCCTCGAGCCGGCTCAAAGACCCATCACTACTCATGTATAAGGTGCGTCGTGCACCATGCGTTAAAACGCGCGACGAGAGAAAGAGGGCGTTGGTACTGCAAATCGGCCGAAAATTGCCGTTAATTCCTAAGCCTATTCTAAATAATACTGTAATTCGGTAGATAATTTATGATCTGTTTAAAAAACAAAAACATGTTAAAAATTATTGGAGTCGCTAAATGCCGAAATACAAACACTCTTTTATATGTACACATTCAGATTAAGAAAGAGTTCAATATTGACCAGGAGATAATTCGAGGTAGCACAGTACATACAAACCCTGTTAAAAGATTTTTCTCTCGTGGTTGCCCCCCTCGAAATACTGAGGCTGCATTGGTCCTTGAATTAACCCCTATAACATCGAGACAGACTCGTGTTGACGATTTCAAAATCGATTCAACAAAGAATATTATTCGGTTTTCGTTGAGTCGGCATTAATATTTAACTTTTACAATAAAAATAAAACAGTTGCGATAAGTACAGAATTTCTTTCGTTTTTGGGAAACTATCGACAAGAATGTAATTCTGGAATCTGCAGACGTCAAGAAAATCGTAGGGCAAGGGGTTAAATTTCTGGGGCAGTAAAATTTTAAGTCCAAAAATTGTTTTTTTTTCGTTAATTGATCTCAGGTTGAATAATGATTATAGATCTATCTTCATGGAAACAATTTGAGCACGCTCCATGAACACCTGCCTACTGACATCCTGCCAGCAGAATTGGGTGGTACAGGGCCAGCTTTCAACCCAGGACTATGGGCAGAACCAGTCATTCATTCAGCAATGAAGGAAGCTGAACTGGCTGCCATAAAAAAGGAGGAAGAACAAGTGGAAACTACAGAGAGAACGTGTGATAAGAAGGTGATTGAGTCCAGAAATGTGGAAAACTATAAGAGGAATGAGACAGATTCCATGGAATTAAACAGTGGCATAGAGAAGGAGAATGGGCGACGATTTTTTAATCCTTTTGGAAGCGCCACAAAGAATCAGTCTGTCAAAAAGCCTGGGGCAAATGTAGAATTGAATTCATTTAATCGTACTAACGCAGAAGAAAGGAAGGATGAAAGAAGGGGGAGGAGAATGATACAGGAGGATGAGGATTCTTCTTGTCAGAGTAAAGATAAAATGTTAAACAACAGGATCAGCGATTACTTTAGTGATAAAAGAGAATCGTACAAAGATATAGAGGATAATTTACTAGCGCACCAATCTAGAGTGAATTCTAACGAGTATGAGATCTCAAATAGGATAGATAGTGACGATAGTAAGGATAACTCATTAGATAACAGATCTGAGAATGCACTTATTGAGGCAGGCAAGTGCGTGAGCCCTTCTGAAGAAACGAATCTCATAACGTAATGTTAATCTCATAAAAAACATTACATTTTAAAATTTATCTTTCGAGTACCTAAGCAGGATTTTTATAACATGTATTAATTTTCGATATACATATATATGTCAATTAATTAAATTTTTAAGAAATCTTTGATAAAAAGAGTGAATAACGATTAAGATAGTTTTAGGATGATTTTATAGATTTTAAAGAATACCTTGTGATATGATAAGCATTGTTGTTAATTGTATTTATACATTCTTGAGGCTCTTATTTTTCTCTCATAAATAGAATGTTTATTTACTGGTATCACTATAACTCATTGTTTAGGCATTACTAGAATATAAAATTTAAGATAACAAATTACATCAAGCTTTATGAAAATCGAATTCGTTTTTATAGAAAGACTCACTGCCTATTTATTATCATTACAAGTGGAACGAAGGACATATTTATTGATTCATATTAAATTAATTCTTTTTCTACTAATGTTGGGAACAAATGTGAAGGTGAAGTTCCTTAATGATTCCCATTGTACCTCCTCTTTATTATAACAAAACATAACTTTCTTTGAAGAGTTTTCTTGACGAACAATTTATATTAGCCTTGTAAATGTGTATTAAATTATTTATTGATATCACGCATATCACGGAATTAAGGATCTCTTATAAAACATATAGGTATAGCATACATTTTAAATATATGAAATGCAAAAGACATCATTTTGATATCCATAATGGAATATATTTTAGATAAAAAATTAATTTTACACTGATAAATCTCAATTAATATCTGATGTTATAATAAAAGTAAAAAACACAGCTACACAAAATTTAGGAAGCTGCATGTACATGATAAAAATGTAAATTATTGATAATTTATAGCATTTGTTAATATTATAAAATATGTACGCAAAAAATAGTGTGTTAATATAATTAAATTCTAAGTTGATAATTATACATCTATTAGACAGGTTACAGTAGAATGATGGAATAAAAATTTATTATTTTAACAGAAATACACATTGTAAAGATAGAATCTTTTTAGTACTTTTATCACATTGCCGAAAGCACCCTGCTACCTTCTTTCTTTGCTCTTATTTTCTCTATTTATTTCATACATACACATATCCACATACATTTTATCTCTTTCTTCCAATTCTTATGAAAATAGAAAAGTCTACATAGAGATCTATGACGAGGTATATAAAAAACGGTAGTCAAATGTAATGCGACAGTTTGCTTATGTACAAATATGTTATATCTTATGGACATTGATTTCAATTATAAAAAAAATCTTTCGACATCTATTTGTAAATATAAGTATAAACATATACTATATATATGCAGTTATGCTGTTTATATATAAGTTCTTTTATTCGAAGACATATTTCGAATTATAATTTGACTCGATTTTGGTACCGTAGTTGACGAAATGCAATTCATGGTCGGTTACAAAACGGACAGTAATTTTTATGATTCTCATACTCATTATTACACAGTAGTGAGATACGAAAATATTTGCTACAGTCAGAATGTGAAAATAAATGGAGGACAATATTTTTTATATTAATAATTACATTTAAATATACACACTGACCCCAAAGAACTGTTGTGCACAATACTTGAACATGGGTATCAATGCAGAAAATATGCCCATTCTACATCTTTACCGCACTGTTCTTATGTCATTATACACCCCCAAGTACATTAAACAAAAAAAAAAAACATTACGGCACGTATATATCTACTTTTTGAATGCGAGAATTTGTACTTTACCTTATCATTTTCCGTCATGATATTCGAGCAGAAATTTTTTACCCAAAAATTGTGATGGCAGGCTAGTAGTTTTACACGTGCATTGTTGTCTAACAAGTATGAAACTCAAGCTAGGATAGCGGGCGAAACCCATCCTCCAAAACGTCGTTCCAACACTTCGGCAACTGTTATAGTTAAACGGTCTTGATGTAGACCACCAACGATCTGTTGCAAATGCAATTACATTACATTACAAATTAGCATGAGCATTTACATTAGAATACGCATTTTTAAGTGAATCAAAAAATATGTAAATGCTTAAAAGGAAGTAAGTTGAATAATAATAATAAAAAATAAGTTGAACACTGTTTTGAAAAGACCATTCAATTCAAAAATATCGTTTATATTAAAGAAAGTACCTGAATACCAATGGGAAGCCCTTGCGAATTTAATCCCAAAGGGCAAGCAGTTGCGGGTAAGCCTAATACATTAATAATTGCCGTGTATGAAAAGTTGAATGGTTTAATCAGTGGTTCATGATGCAGTGGCGCTGCGGTTGGATGCGTTGGATACAAAAACACACCGTCTTCTCCGAGGATATCCTATAATAAAACAAAAGTAGTGAAACAAGTTTGGCAGTATCTGGAAAGAGAAAGAGGAAAATCCAAATACTTCTGGTCACATGCTTACTAATAAATTCAATCATTTTTTTATATCAAGACAACTAGGGTAAATGTCCCAATTACTGCCACTTTATTTATTTTATTTAATAAAAACGAAACTATGTATGAAGAATTGCGAACAAAAAATTGTATTACTAAATTAAGACTCTGATCTTGCACAAAATTAATAGTTAAACTGTATAAGAATTACTTTAATAATACAACTAATAAAATGAGGGTATATATAATAAATGATAGGTATTTATTGTTAAATTATGATAATTAACAGTGATAGTATTAGAGGCAATATTTTTCGGCTTGTCTCTATCATTGTCGTCAGTATTCGGCAGTATTCGGAATGAAAGAACGTGACATGTAAGAGTAGGTCCGCGTGACTGTCATTCGGGTCATTGCAAAGTTCTTAACTCTAATTTCAAATTTGACATCTGGAACGTATCGTGTGATTCTTCATTGTAATTTCAATTATTTATGATTTAGTAGAATTATTTTATTTATAATTGTGTGTGTTTAGTTGCTTGTAATATTTTATTCTCCTATAGTTTGCCTTGTATTTTACCTAACGTTATTTAGTTATTTACTTATTTATTAGTAAAATGTTTAAATGAAGTTATGCTACAATCTTAAGATGGCAGTAATTGGGACATCTACCCTACAATGAAGTTATAAAATAATGCTGTTTCGTTGTAGTAGATGGAAGAGTTGCATACAGCATGCAGGATGAAAATTTTCTGCTACTATTTATAGGAGAACACGCTATACCACGGATGACTGGTAGTAGTCTGACCAGAGGATGAAATCACGTCCATTAATAGATATTAATTATTCCACAATTCGATCAGTACAATTAATCATTACTCTTGATATGTTGCGCGATATTATGGAAAGCAAGTCGAAATAGGAATAAGCCAATTCCAAAACTGATTACATTACGAGTTCTTACCAATTTGAGATATCAAAGTTTCTATATAGAAGAGATGAATTCATTGACATATACTCTATGCATATAATTCTGGATATATAAAATCAGACACCATACCTGAAACTCTCGATAGAGATCCCTACTTTCTTGGATCAGTTTAGTGTGTTTCTCGCTTCCATGTTTCACTGAGTACTTTTCAAACATAGCTGTGATTAATGCTATTAATGTATGATTGCTCATGAACATTGCCCACTTCAAGAACTCCCACCAAAGGTTAATGTGGCCCTTTCTGTTAGACAATTCATACGTGAAGTCTTTCTCGTTTTTACAACTCATATTGGCCATCCAAAGGGCGATGCTCTTTTTCAGTTTATTGATACTGAGTTTGGTCGCCTTAATCTTATGCGCTATTTCGAGGTAACGTACCACGTCCCTCATAGCGTGCTTTATTTCCCGATCCACTGGAGACGTTAAGAACTGACCTCCATCATCTTCCATATAATAGAACTAAATAAAAATATATATATATATATATATATATGCACATCACGTACGTATTGTGTACAATTGTATTGTTTTTTACAAGGTGATATCAAATTGATATTTCAGATCTAACGACACTGTTTTCTCTGAAACTTCAGACTACACTAGGCTTGAAACTTGAAGTTAAACAAAAATAAAATAAAGATTACTAAGAGAGAAACCCAATTATGTTGGTCTCTATATAATCAGTAATTTAAAAAAAAATATACACATATATCCGAGACATCAATCTGATAATGTTCCTCCGTTAATAATGTGATACCTTGATTTTCGAAATGTCTACTTTCTCTTCCAAGCGTAATATGTGTGCATTCTTGTTTGCAAGAATGTTTAAAGTGGGCTTCAAGTCTTGTGCATATCTACACATGGGACCGATTGCAAGCAACCGATCTTGGTCTTCACTCTGAGCACTTGGATACTGACCATCATTAGAAACAATATCTTTAGATGGTTTGTGCCCGAAAATTCCGTTGAAAAAACTTGGCATACGAATGGAACCACCGATGTCCGATCCTATTCCCAATGGTGAACCAGCTGCCGCTTGTATGCAGCCCTCACCTCCCGATGATCCTCCAACAATATGTCTAGTATTGTAGGGATTTTTTGTGGTACCATATAAACAATTACTAGTTTCCCACCACATTGCTAATTCTGAAACATTAGTTGTAGCAAGAGGGATCGCACCTGCTGCCCTCATCAACCTTATTACTTCTGCATCTTGCTGAGCCACAATGTTTTTGCGAACAGTCAAACCAGCTGTTTGTTTCATGTTTTCAATTCCTATACAGTCCTATTAACAAGTAATGACAGCATTTTATCAGTAATACAGAAATAGGTCGTTATTATTAGCGACTATTTCATGAAATAAAACTGACCTTTGTTGTGAAAGGCACTCCAAAGAAAGGTTTCTCTTCAGCTAATACTTGGGGGGATGGAGCAGTCTCAGATTTTAAGACTTCGTCGCACTTCCTTGCCTCTTTAAGAGCATCTTCAAAGCGTTCCTCTACTACACAATTTAACAATGGTTGGATATCTCTTATCCGATCTATGTATGATTGTACTACATTTTCTGATGTTAACTGTAAAAAACAAAATTCCACTGTAATTAATTAATGCAGTAGGTATATCTATGTATAGTGGAATGTTAAGAGGTAACACGGGCATGTTTAATCTATGTTATCTTGAATACATTTCATTCTTATATGAAAGATCAACATTTCGATACTTCTTCTCACCTGTTTATTCCGAATTTTAAAAGCTAAGGTTGTTGCACTGTGTAAAAGTGTTAAATCCTTTATAGCTGGTTGATGATTGGCAGGACCTTTTAGGAATGCAATAAACAAAAATATTTGCCTTCCAATTATTTCAATCAATCGGTGCATTATATTCAACATCTGCCCCCTGGTTTGCATTTTATTGCGATTTTTTGTTGTAGTCGACATTTATCTGACAAACAAATTCACATCTATTAATTAACATTCAGTTTTAGAATCAGTTGCACCCTCCACATCCTACCAACCAAATAATATTTTTGACCTATTTTTTTTTTGGAAAACAAGTCAGATACTAAAGATGCTTATGTTACATAAGACACCCTTACATGGGCGTAGCTAGGTATCAGTCAGGGGGGGGGGAGGGGCAAAAATATTAACACATCGACTGCTACAGTGAAAAAGGCCGTCCGTAGCCAGACATACTTTATTTTGTTTTCAAAGTCATAAATCGTTGACAATGTATGCGTTTTGTTAATAGACGCTGTTGGTCATATTTCAAATTATACTGCAATATTAAATATTACGCAAAAATTTTGTAACTCTGGGAAGGCGGGGGGGGAGGCAAATCCAATTTTTTTTCTTTTAGGGTGGGACAAAAGCCAGTTTTTTCCGTCCAGGGGGGGGCACGTGCCCCCCCCCCACCTTCCCCGGCTACGCCCATGCACCCTTATCAGCATTAACAGAAGTAAGAAAAATATGGCTCCGTAGAGACAATGTGACGTAATAAAAAGCAGTTGGCGAGGTACACTTCTGTTAGAGACGTACGTCTCTACAGAATTCTATAGCTACATCAAAGATAAGTATAGCGTTAGCCATAAACCTGACCGACCCTAAAGTTTGTTTTTCGGCAGTCTAATTTTGTTACTCGATACCCTTGAGTTGTAAAAACTATGCTCGACCATCGTTCAGGGACGTACGATGTCAACTTGGGATCGGTTTTTCCGTTTTAATGTAATTAAACAAGTTCTTATAGCGTACTAATTTCAGATTTAAAATATTTCTGGCTCTTTTATTCTTGATGAAAGCTTACGAAAACGTAAATTGCTTTGAAATATTCCAGTTTTTTTCGTTTTATTCCGTGCAACCCCATAGCTAAAAGTGGCATCGACCCTGAATCGGTGAGACACAATGGGCCCCCGATGATCGAGTACGAACGGTCGACCACGTTTATGGCTAACGCTATATCTTTGAAGCAGCTATAATAGTATTAGCATGGTGTGTATACTCGATTATACCACTTTCGTGGAACGGGACCCCGGACTGATTTTGCAACTAAATAGACATTTTGCGGGTGACCGAAGGCTCATTGATGAAACCGCAACCAGGGCTGTGCCTATCTTACAGAAATACATGGGCGTTGAAACGCTTACAGATACACTAATAATATTCCCTTTCCAATAAGCTATGGGATCGTCTTATCTGTAGTTTGTTGATAAACATAACTCGATACTTTCATGTATTCTCAGGAATAGTTAAAAGAAAACGTTTACCAACAGTAATCGACTACTCCGGAAGACACGAAGAATCGAAGAATTATTACAGCTTGTGCGGCTATCACGTCAGAAGAGATAGAAACAGTGTCATAGTCCCCGATTTCTCGTTTCAGACAGTGTATCGCCGCCGATGGACATCACTTTGAGCATTTGTAACATAAAAAGGAAGTTCACCACCCTAACATTATTTCAGAATTTCATTATTTTTTCAAGGTTCCAGTTTACATCGAGGTTATCAGTTAAACAAATTTAAATACACTTTAACACGTGCTATATGATGCGATAAAAAAAAAAGTACATGCTGTCTGTCACATAAATACCGATGACCTAAAAAAATTCAAAAAGTGATCATAAAAACATATGTTCCATGCACGATATGTACTCCCAGTCTGAAACTATTTGAACTGTGTTTGAAACATTTCCCATTTCATTAAAAAATAAAGAAGATATTGAGGTTTTCTATATTACATGTATTTTCACATTACTAGTTTTAATTACTGGAATAAATTTCTTCAAAAAATTTATAGAATGGAAAACGCGAATGTGTCTCATTCTCTTCACAACGGGCGTATTTTCTTACAAGCATGCCAGAGTGAAAGTGTTCATACGCCCAAGACGAACTATAATTGCTAAATACACATATAACTTATTTATTCAGTTCAACGAATCGGTTATATACATAGTATTGATTCGTGTCACGAAACTTTAAAAGAATATTTATCGGTAGTTTTGATCACCTGGATCGTGTCTAGTCACGCTGTCCGCATTATCTGATCTGATTAATTAATTAAAGACCTTGTGCACCAAATTATTCGGACCTTGCACTTCTATAAGAAAACGCCGGTGTTATCGATCAATACAGTTTATATCGGCGAAGCTCTCGCGGTTAAATGAAAATTTTCCAACGAATGTCACGATTTATTAAATTTCACTACGATGTCTGTACTATTAAATATATAACAAAATAATTGGTGAAGTTAAACGCATCAAGGCTGTCGAACCAGACCATGCCAGTTTGACAGTGTTCGCTCGGCCGGAAGTCATTCGCGGCGCATTTCAAGCCTACGGTACCTTTAATCGGGCGTTTTCCACTGGTCAGAAGCTCTAGTCGTGAACCATGGACATAGGAATATATTTCTGTGTCCATGCCGTGAACGTATAGCAATCTGCGTATGACGGGAGATGCCGATGTGTTTGGTTCATAAATGAAGATGAATTATCAAAGACTTATCGAAACAGAGTGCATTTAACGAATACGGTTAAATCAATCGTGATTACAAGTATTGATACAAAAGTAGCCAGTTTTTTATATCTAAGAGAGTATCGCATGACACGGTCAAATATACTATTAATTATTAACTGTTTAAATGGTAGATGACTTGTATCACTGTGCAGGCTCGTGTACTTACAATAGAAATTTGTTTGATAAGCCAATCGAAAGAACTCGCTAGAAACCAGTAAACGAATTACTCTTGCCCGTCGCCGGACCGATAGGAAACTGATTTAAGTCATAAGTCATCGACAGTGTAATATTGCGCCTCGTAAAACGTCACTTCTTCCAGCACTCGTTGTCAACTGATTGTCAGCTACAGTGATGAGTGAACTAATTGATGCCAGGGTGTTGACACTCTCGTGTTAACGAATCGAACAGTGTTTTTGGCGCCGCCACAGTTAATTTGCGGAAATGAGGCAACTAAAATTCAATATGGCATACTGTGGCGGGTGTTTCAAATAAAAAATGAACACTTAAAAGGTAGTTGGACAACAATTTTTTTATGATTTCTCATATTGTCCAAATTATCTTATTTTCATGTGGGATTTGAGAAAATTTTCACCAAAGCAAGGAATAGGGATACAAGAAGAGGCGGCATCTCTAACTAGGGATGAATCAATGCAAGTAAATACGAGTACATTATTCGATACTTTTGTTTCGAGCCATTTGTCGGTTGTCTAATTTTAAAAATTCATTTCAGCTGGAAGTCTACATTATAGTATAACTCTCAGGGAGTAAAAGGTGGAAGTGGCTTACAATAGCTTTCATGTGATAAAAACTTCAGTTCCAAAAAATTTTTTAAATAATAATTAAATCAAGTCCATCGCTACTATTAGTCCGTCAGTTCTTTTCCAGGGAATCCAAACTTACCATGTACCCCAACCCAAGTTCGTTAGAATAGCGCACACGACAGCTCCAACGGTTAACTTTACGCGACACTTGGCGTTAATGCCTAGCGATTGATCTTTTAACGCATTCCTTATCGCAACTAATATACATAATTTCAATATTCAAATTACCATTTATAAATAGATTATCTGAACTGTTACGTCCCGAAACACCGAAATTCTTCGAAAATTTCACGGGTTGTAAATCCGCTTCGCTGGTTTGCGACGGTGTAAAACAAGACGTTGACTTCACAAAGGTTCTCGTGAAGTCTAGTTAGGGTGGCAGGAATGATCGAATAGATCGGTTTCAGTAACAGCCTTTTACTAACATTTAAATTACAAACTGTTGATGTAAATATTCGTTTCTCGCAGAGAATGTATAAATCTCGCTTTCTGATTGGTGGCACCCTGGAGGAGAAGGCATATTCTCAGGTTTTTCCTGAGTGACGTGGTGGTGGAAACCTCCCCTTCAGGGCGAAGCGGGTGCAAGCGAAAAATGTTATGAGGTAAAATTGTAAAGCTAACGGAATGTTTGAGGTCTATAGCTGTCGTTCCTGGTTGAAGACGGAACATGAACATTTTTTTTTTTTTTGACTAGCAATGTTATACAAGCACATATAAACATATTGTTTGTAATTAATTGAAATATATTAAGGAGTAATATGTAATGTTTGTACACTGAAAGTGACACGATCCGTAAGAAGTTCGATACATAATACGTATTGATTCAATTAGGAAAAATTTATTCCTTATGCCTTTCCGTTTTTAGGGTGTTTTCAACACATTAATAATATTAACTTAACTTCAGTGGAAAAACCTGTTTTCAAGAATGTTTTTATTAAGTATTATTTATGCCAACACGAAACCATTGTTCCCAAAATTTGTTTCATTTAAACCTTTTCTTACCCTTCTTTTTATACGAGCCTTGATGGTTGCAAGCAGTAACTGCTGGTATGAAGTTTTAGTAACACATTATTGAAACGTGAAATTTTGTTAAAAATATAATTACATAAGAATAACTGATATTTTTATGAGCCCAAGAGCGGGATTCATGGTCACTTCTTATTCTTAAGCATTTTCTTAAGTCCCGCCTAGATTCATTCATAGTCTGGAAATAAACATTTACTTAAGCATATACTTAGTAAAGAATTCTTATTTGAATTGTGATTCATATTTAGTTGTTAAGAACTTTTTAAGCACGTATGTATTCACAGTCAAATACGAACTTCTTATTCGGGATATAAGTTTTAATTCGAAGCTCATCCGGAGACTGATTTTCGAAAGTTATCGAGATGGCGACTCGATCGTTCATCAGAAAGTAACAGAGAGAGACTAAAGAGGGCAGTGGCATCGATGATCACGTGCGCGCGAGTGACTGTGCGTGGTATGGCGTGGTACATAGGGTGAATGTCACTTTGTACTTTGTAGCTACTTGCTTTCTTATCACCTGACAAAGAACATTCATTATCCTTGGTGATTTTATTATTGGTTGCGTCTCGTCCTGAGTTAAGACGTACCTGTGTAGTGCGGTGAGAGACTGGCTCCTGCATTTTTCGACTTGAAATGTGGCTCACGATCGCCGATTGCTTTTTGAGGTTAGCTCACGACTGTGGCGGCTTCTGTGTGCTGTGATATTGTCCCGCGAAACCGTGAGTTCACAATCAACTAGATTCTTTTATTCAAACAGATTCCACGCGTTGATAAGTTTATCCGATTATTCGAACATGAAATGATTTAGTTGTCACCGTAAACTAGCCATCTCGTTACATCCTTCCACCTACGTCGTGATTTGTTATTACCGTTGGGTTCTAAACACGTTTCCACATTGGAATAACACTCATAACAGCTTCTACATTACTTTCACAATCGCACAATGCTTTAACCACTGATTTTAATGAAATATAAATCTAGACAGTCAATAGTTTTACAAATATTTAACAATAAAGATCACACTTAACCGGGTGCGTGCAATCACTTTCTCCCCTCCCTCTGCGATGTGCGAGCAAAAGAGGAGCTACTCCAGCTCTACTACTGTCCTTTGGTCTCTCTTCATCCCTACCATTAGACCGCGCAGTCTATTATACATGGTGGGACAATAACTATTACTACCTCAGATATTTTCGAAACTATAAGATTCACAGAAATATTTGTTTAACCAAAATTATTGGCCCCCATTTTATCAACGGAAATTTGAATGGCAACATCTACTTTAATTTGATTAAAGATATATCGGGTCCTTTGCTAGAAGAATTTCCTTTATTTACACGACAAACCATGTGTTATCGACATGATGGATGTCCAGCACATTATTCATTGATTGCGCGAAGGGAACTCGATGAAAAATTTCAAAATCGTTGGATTTGACGCGGCGGTTCAATATAATGGCCAGCTTGTTCACCAGATTTGACACCACTAGATTTCTTTTTATGGGGAACATTGAAAGATAAAGTGTACAAAGAAGTACCAACTACACCTCAAGCATGGAACAGTGAATTATTGCAGCCTGTGCGTCAATAAGTTCTGACGTCGATCCAATATTGCATTGATAATGATGGTTATCATTTCGAATATCTATTATGATCTTATGTAATAAATCGTTAAACTTGTTTTAAGCTGTTGTTAAGCTGCTCTGTCATTCTACGGAAACAAAAACATACCGATTCGTTTAAAAAAATGGAGGTGACCTTGAATTATCCGAAGTACCTCCACCTGCAAAAAAACTATTAGCATTGGTTCAACAAATATTTCTGTGAACCGTATAGTTTCGAAGATATCTAAGGTGGTAATAGTTATTGCCTCTCCCTGTATATCTGTTCACGATAAACTTACTTAACCGTAACGACAGTTGTATTGGGCTTGGGACAATTCTATTGAAATAAATACACAATTATGATAATTAACAAACTAAGTGGAAGAAATTATTATTATTATGTTTACTATACTTTCTTAACTAACCATCTGCATGACATATTATTAAATATATTTGTAGTATTGTTATTATTGTCTTTATTACTTTGCAATACTTGACATTAACATGTGCAGTGGGTAAATAAAGGTATTTACTCATTTCTAGTTTTTAGATTGTACTATGAAAATTCACATGGTTTTATTTTTGTAATAATATATTCTATGCACAAACGCCTTTATTATCCGTTGCACGTTTAACTAGTGTAAACACTATGTACATATACTATAATCATTTTAAATTCGAGTAATTAAATTACATATTACCGAAGGTGTCCAGTTGTAAAAACGTTCACTTTCACAAAATATGTACGAAGTATACAGTGGACTCTAACTATATTGCCATGGTCGAGGCTGTAAGGGAGTAAAATGGCAATGAGTTCAGAGCTCCCTCCATGTTAGGTTCTATCGTCATTGCCTCGGCCTCAATGCCTGCGCAAACGCTGGGTCGTGCTGGTACGCAGGCGTACACAACGTGGTGGGAGAGCGAATCTGAGTGTTCGAAAGTACGTGTGGGGGGAAGTGCCTCGCGTGGCAATATGTTTAGTGGTAATATAGTTAGAGTCTACAGTATTTCAATCTGTCTTCTAATCCTCTAACACATACGCCGAACGCATAGTCCTCATTCCAAGCCCATCGGAAGCGACTTCAATAACTGAAACCTTGATCTGACCGTTCAGATCAGTCAAAGCCTCTGAAACGCGCGGGAACGAGTGCAAAAGTTTTTCCGCTGTTTCCTCAGATTCTAACCGGGACTATGGCATGCTGGAAGGCAGTACTTTGAATCGTTAGTTGCTGTTCAAAATCGTTGGAACTGAAGTCACTCGGCAGGATGAACAAGAGATCGGATTTTCGGAAGACAGGTTCGGAGGAAAGCGGAGGAAAGTATGACGCGAACGACATTCAGGAAAAGATGAAGAAGGTAGGCGTGAAGTCCTTATCACCAGCTAGTGGAGTAACTCGGGTGAAGCAGCTTCAGGAATCGAACAAGGTTCTGAGCCAGCTGGGATCGTCTTCCGGTTCAGCCACCGGTGAGCCAACACGATTGCTACGAATGCTTTTGACTGTAGCTTGTATTTGTTAGTATGTGTTGGCACGGATGTTTCATGTTCATTATATAAATGGTTTACCAGAAATAGGACATGGCCTGAGAAGTTGAAGACCCGCAAGGTGGGGAAGATCTGGTCCACCCATTACTTCTACTGGTCTTTTTTATAGATTTTAGACTCTAACATTCAATATCTTGAATAGTCTTGAAGCTAACCGTCTGATATTTTGCCGGAATAATAATTTTTGCAATCACTGTGAAATTTTGTGGATTAGAAAACAATACAAAGAAGTGTAAATTATGAGAGACGCTATGGAATGTCATCAGTGGAACTTGGGGTCTAATGTCTCCTCATCTCTACTGATTACTACGCATAAGCCACACCCTCGGGAATCTTCTGACATACCAGGCTATGTCGTCAAAACACCTGTAACATCTGAATCCTCATTATTCAATTAACCAAAGGTTTTTCTCTACTTTGTCGTCACTCATCGGTTCGATTTACAATCAAACTCCCCTTCATGGTCGTACGAAGTCAGTGGACATCTTGGGGTCGGACTCTCGAATGGATCCTTATCATCCTCATGCCCGGTTCGCATTATTGGGTCAGGATAGAGCAGGGCAGGGCCGATCGGCGAGTGTATTTTGTCCCCTGTCCTGTCCCAATAGTGAGAATTGGTCTTATTCGATGTGGACTGAACAACGCGGGATTGGAATCAGTGCTTAGCAACTGACAATTGGGAATCCCTACTGGTTTGCATTATTGGGTCAGGACAGGGTAGGACAGGGCCGATCGGCGTGACCATTTGTTCTGTCCCCTGTTCTGTCCCGATAGTGAGAATCGGTGCTTGATCAGGTTCGTAGACAAGTCGCGTTTTTAATAAGATACGAAAAGAGTTTATAGTTCAGATAACATCTAGTAGTCACTCAATGGTCAGATGCTTGACCAACCTACTGAGTTGAGCCATGCTCAATATTTCATTCTTTGTCTTTCTGTACATGTTTCTAAAAACATTTCAGATCGCATGATGTCACGGTAGAAATTAATGTATGAGAAAATTCATACTGGTGAAAATTATTTCGACTTTTTGAATTTCATCCAACTATGTTATGCTGATTGTGATCTGACGATCTATGTACAAGGTGTCGAAAAAGTATGTGGCTCGGCTACCATAGCTGGACTCTACACCTTCGGATCGGTGTAGATTTGCTAAGAAAATATACCGCAAAATTCGAGGACTAGAGATGTGCCGACTAGTGGCGTCATCGGCCATGCGGGTTGCATCATATGACTCATATGTTGGGTCACCTCATATGTGACGGTAGTCGTTGTGTTCATTAACACTGTTTTCCCATTTTAATGTTGTTTTTACATACTATTATTACAACAGTGTTACACAGAGTGACCCAATAATTCTGTTCACTTTGAATATCTTCGTTATTTTTAGAGATATGGAAAACCTTTACCTACAAAAGTTGTATGGTACAATGGGTGCCATAACATTCCAGTAGTAATTATTTTGCAAGAGGATGATTTTCAGAAACTTCAAAGTTTACTCTATTTTTTTTAAATGGCATGCTATACGTTTTTATGCATAGCAAAATAGGGAATGTTTAGATGATTTTAACGACATCTAATACAAGGTCATTCTATATATGTATCGATTTACTAGAATACCTATATACTTCTAATAAAAAACTTGAAAATTAACCTTCTACAGTATGCATTATTTTGGTCTTGAACTCTGTGAATTTTAACCTACAAGTTTCTCTGCAAAGGAGTATTGTATGTCTTGTACATGCTTGGAATATACTAGTTTCACTTCTCAATTTAATATAGTCATTTCCACTTTGTGTTCTTATTAGAGTAATTAAACCGTGGGCATAAAGTTTTATCACTAGGCTGCAGATGTTTATGCAAATTCAGAATTTAAGACGTTAATTTATAAACATGACAATCAGATAGACATTTATTTCCCCTATTAAATGTATTATTATGTTGATAGTAATATATAAGTATCATTAAGTTTTACTAAAATCTTTATTTTACTGCTTTTGCACTTTAAAATTTGCTATAAATGCATAAACATCCGCAGTCTATTTATCATAGTCTATTCTTTTCAACGCTCGAAGTACCATTCGTACACGCCTCAAAAAAATGTCGAACCCGCCAATTAGAACAGGACATTAAAGTCAACTGGATAGAGACATACGTCGATGTGATCGATATTTGGCTAAACTTACCGTGCTTTAGAATTACAAACAGACTAGCAGGGTATCGAGCATCCGCAGGCAGATATCGTGGCTTTCATGGAACAGCTGATACGTATGAATAAATCGGTTGCACTTTTTAGCCCACGTACGATAAATATTTTAGCAGGGCCACAATATTTTCTCAAAGGCTTTTCGAGCCATCTTGTTTTTCTCACCGCGACGAAGTGGTTCCCAAAGTGTTTGTTGTTCCAACATTCTTTCACCATTTAAATTCTCTTTTCCCCTTTTTTGAACCAGAAAACTTTACACAGCTGGTCTCGATACACTGCACTCCATTCTTATGCAAAATGATATTTTCTAAAGCAATTCATACAGAGAAGAGCAAATGTAGGTATTTCTTTCTTTTCTTAACCTGTTAACCAGGTATGACGAAATCTTTCGTCATACCAGGAAGACAACTCCAATAGAGATGTTGATATATTTCGTCATGGAAATTTTTAATGGTGCGTATTACGTTTTACTTCGTTCTTACCCATTAAAACTTAGCGTGGCCATATGGGAAAATATTTATAAAATATATATGGGCCCATTGTGAAACGAGTTGAACAAAAGTTAATTCCCCGGTTAATAGGTTAAGTATCATACTGGGCTCAAAATAAACTAGAAAACTTACTGGAAAAGGAACTTTCTATCTCTGGAACGAATAGAGCAACGTTTTCGAAGGATAAAGAACTGACGAGACTTGATTGGATCATCGTTCGGTCGTTCCCTTCATAATTTTATATCCGGAACGGCAAGATCTTTAAATGAGTATTGGTTTCTCAGATGAAAATTTCTAGGTTCTCTTCGATCCAGAAATCGAGTCCAGCTCGATTACGTGACAGAAATGGATAATTTCCTCAAGCGAATCCACTTTCGGGATTGTGGCTCATATAAATATCGGGGAAAAATGGGAACGTTAACAATGTTATTGGCCCTCCTGTGCACCGAGGAATAGTGATTCTAAGTCTTTCTTTCTCGGGATATCAGTGAATTGCGTCCGCTAATACAGACAATTTTATAAATGAATTTAAAGAAACTGTATTGATGATCATATGACATTTTCTCCACCTGTTCCTCCTCTCGAACAACGGTTTCGACACTTTTTCTGGATGGTTCCTTCTTCAGAAATGTCTACAGAATCTGATACTGTGTAGCAAATTCGTGCTAGGTAAAGAACTTTTCGTAAAAATGCAAAAATAGTGCATAGAAAATACGCACATCGGTTCTTTTTTAAACTTTCACAGCTATTTACAACAATTAAGAATTACACAATTTAATAACTAAATACACTGTTGTATGCAGGGAACTCCTCTATTTTTCAAGATTAAATTGAACTTTCTAGTTTTCACGTAATACGTCATTCTTGGCCAAAATCGGATGTTTTTACAAAAGCTCATGGTTTTCAAAAACTGAGGGAAATTGAGAAATTTTGCTTCCGGATTCATGATGTGGACGAGGAACTCTATAAGGATCTTCCAATGGATATTGCAGATCAGAAGAAAAGTTTAAATTTGTTGGATAGTGTTATTGGATGATTATTGGGACTATGTGGAGTACTTGGCAACGTTGCTGAAGTAGGGCCATACCCGCGAAATATAAATACATTTCAAAATTATTTTACTTATTTTCTGTTTTAGTGTATTCTAATCTTCTAAATTATAATGCACGAGAATATAATTAACTTTACATATAAGAATATTGAATATTGACAACGCGGGAAAACTGAACACGCACCGCGTATATAGATATACGTGCAAAAGCAACGTTGCCAAACATACCAGAAACGAGCACAGTGGAGTCATACGACTAGCCAAAATATATTTTTTATTTACAATATAGTGATGAACGATCAATGGAAATGTCGTTGAATTTCATTCATGTAATTTTTATACATTATTAAAATGTATTAGCGGGTGTTTAATACCAATTATTAATATGTTACTTTATTGACTAGAGAGTCAGGTACGAACCACCTCAATAGACCACAGGGGTTAATAATCCAAGGTTAACAATGATTTACCCAAATCGCGGCGTAGGTCTGTCGGTCTGTGCGGAGAGCCACGCGCTCACTGGCGAGATCCTGCGTGTTAGGCACGCCGTAGCTACTATATTGATCTACCTGTTCGAGGGCTATATCGGTCGCGTGTGTTTCGTTGCAGTACCTTCCAGTCCACCACCACGGGATCAACGTTTCGTCCTCGAGTTTCTCTCGTGGTCACGTTTCATCTTCACAACAATCGAACTCGAACGATCTTTGAAATCAGCATACTTTGAACGATCATCCGATAGCGTCAGGATATTATTCCTGTTAGACATCACGAAACATGATCCTCGTCAAAGAAAAATATTAACAAGATCGAGACTGATTGCTTTCAGTTAAGACTTTGTTCTTTCATTATTTTATTTTCATACATTTTCCTTTTTTTTTTTTTCAATAGTTTTGGAGTACACCAGTTTTGACCGTCGTGTGGATCGATCGTGGCTAGTGTTTGTTTGGGTCACTTTTGTCACTTGGCAAGTGTATGTATGACCATTTTCGACGTCACCGCGATTTCGTACAGGTACGTTCGTGGCTTTCTCGCGTTCCCGCCGTTTTATCGTCGGTTTTATGGACCCGACATATCGGACTGTTAACGAACGAGGACATTTATTCGCCCTTCTGGTTTCGGTTTATTACTAAAATGAGATAGTGCTTGAATAAATATACCTTCTAGCGTTTAGTACTTAATTGTCTCTGGCAGATTTCCCTTTCGCCGTTTTTCATTTTACACAAGGTTTTGTTTTCACTATACTCGATATCGGTATTCGTATTTACTTCACTGAATTTCCTTTTTTTTAAATAATAAATAGTGATGGTATTCATTGTTTTCAAGAGTTTCTTTTATGGTCTCTCTAATTGTAAGACGTTAGTTTTCTTAACCTGTCAGTCGAGTGATTTTAGAAGAAGAAAAAAATAATATTGGACTTACTGGAATAAATAATAATACAACTAAATGTGGTTGTCTGTAGATACCAGAAATTAGAAAAGGAAACAGAATTATCGAAAAATATTATTTGATACAGACGATAAATTATCACATTTCCGCGGTTCACTGGTTAATATTCTGTTAGTGTATATTTATAATCAAATAAGCGCTGATTTGATCGAATATAAAAATACTTCCAGTATCTTTAATTTAATACTGTGATAACATTTTTGATTATGAACATGAATTTTTGCTGATTTCTCTTTTGCGGGTTTTCTTAATATTCTCTGTCAGTATTTGCATTTAATATAAATATGGATGACGCGGAATTTGATACGACAAAATCTTTTAGGATTTACGAACCAGAAGGCACAGCATATTTTCAAACTGTCAACGCATTTGACATAACCAACGCAAAAAAACTGAGTATCTCACTCTACAACTTGTTGGATAGATGTTCTACTGTATTCAATAAATTTGAAACCTTTCCGAGTTCCAAATGTCATTATGAAAAAACATTTGCTTATTTTGTTGTTATAATATATTTACAAATATGTCGATAAAAATTTAGTGATTTTAAATTTACAAATATGCATATACAGATCGCATTGCGTTGTAACATGTTGACTGCTATAGTGTTGATCAGTGCACTGACACTATTTTATGCGGAAAACAATTCAAAATAGTAACGGATACGATAAGTGCCGGTTGAAATAGCGCCTAAACTATCAACTTCGTGAAAAAGTGGGAAAGGAAAACTCTATATTCTATAGATCAAAGAATCTGGTGGAAAAAAAGAAATACAGGGTGTAACAAAAATGTTGGAGAACCCGAAAATGAGAGACTCGTGGGGTGATTTGAAACAAGTATTTCCTTAGCAAAAATGTTATCAGAGGCTTTGTTAACGAGATATTAACGAAAAACCCCGACCAATCAGAGCGCGAGTCTGCCGGTCGAGTTCCCGCGATAACGTCGGCTACGCGCTGCGATTGGTATTGACGCTCTGATTGGTCGAGGTTTTTCGTTAATATCTCGTTAACAAAGCCTCTGATAACATTTTTGCTAAGGAAAGACTTGTTTCAAATCACCTCACGAATCTCCCATTTCCGGGTCCTCCAACATTTTTGTTACCCGATTTTTGATCTTTTTAAACGGAATAATATATTTCCATGTCAATATCCTTCTGGACAAACAAGGGATGATTACAGAAGCGTCTATTTGAAAAAATGAAAACAGGATAAGAAAATATTCATACAATATGAAATCTTGCTTTGTTATTTCTTTCGCGCAGTGAATAGTTTAGGTGCTTATCGCGCGACACTCTATAGGGCCTATACAATTTACAGTAGAATAATAATCCACATATTAACTGTATTGCAAATAAATCTATAAATCTTTATATTATTAATCGTAACTACTTAAACAAATATATATATTTTATCACGACATTGTCTCAGTAAATTAAAATTTGGGTAATCAACCAGGATTGGCCTTTTCTCTACTGTCCTCGAAAAATCTGATGATTTCGCATCTAGATCGAGCCCGGTCCCTTCTCACGTTTGGAATGTTCACGCAGGAGGATGATTAAAAGTGTCCGGCCTCAAACGTTTCGATGAGAGAATGCCACGATGCTGCGGCGCGTCTTTGTTATCCGTCATGGACGGCGACGGGTCTCCGCAGAGTCTCGGTTTGCAGATTCAGGACGGTCAGTAATTAACGATAATTGCCTGGTAGCTTTGCCGATGTTCCCGGTTCCCGCGAACGTTTATACGCTTGGCTATGTTTCCACGAGCGTTGAGTTACAAACGAGCTTAATCAACATCGATATCCAGCCCAACTTATTAAGCGTCTTCTCGAGCTGAAAAGAGTAACGATGAATTTTCCGACCGTCAATTAAAAAGAAAAAAATTGAAATGTTCATTATAATTAGACTACGAATACTCGTTTTTTGCATTCGTGGATCACGTTGTATTAGGGTGAATAATAAGTTCGTTCATATTTCTTTGAAAGAGCAACAAGTGTTAAGTTTCGTTCTGTTATCCTAGTTTACACCTAACGAGTGCTCGGCTAAGTGAACCCACTGGGCCGAGCAGGGCTGTTCCTGGGATGATGGCCGCCCGGGTTAATCCTTAACAATTGAATGGTTTTATTTGAAATTAATATTTTATTCCACATATAAGTATGAAACTAACACATAATGTTTGTAATAATGTTGTTATAGTTGATAAATAGCGACTATTAGTTACCTACGGGAATTTAATCCACTAAATATGGCTATTGTAGCCTGCCCATAAAGATAGTTCCTTTTAGTATACGAGTACTGTTACAAAGATTACATATGCAATTAATTTGATTAAATTTTGTCGGTCTAAAATGATCATAACCATTGGAAAACTTTTGATTATTATTCTTACTAGTCCAAGTTTTACATATAATAAACGATCTGCGGCCGTCACTGCATTTGGCCGCCCTGGTGCGGGGGCATCTTCTGCACCCCCGCCAGGAACGGCCCTGGGGCCGAGCACTCCCCCAGTTTGAACGCATATTCTAGCACTTGGCCCAGTATAATTCGGCGAGAAAATCGACGATCGAGTGAATAGAAGCATCTTCTATTCACTAGGCCGGGTATTCCCTCCCTTCCTCAGCGCCGGATCAAGGGGGGGGGTCTAGGGTGCGTATTGTTCACTATAAAGTGAACGAATTTATTACTTTACCTAAGAAAAATCAGAGTCGAAGAAAAATTTTATCAGTAGAGAGTTACACAGAAATTAGTTTATTCCACGAAGGCTTACACCACATTGTAAATAATTTAAAACTTCCATTAATCTTTATTAAATTTTTTAATATATTGAGTTTTTACACTACACATTACACACACACTTACTTCCTTGTATTTTTTTTTTGCATGGTATCATTGCATATTGGAAATATGATTTCATCAGTCTTTCATTAGTTCACGACAACGATTCATATTTGTAATTGTAATTTACTCAATGATACTAGTGCCATACGAGGAACGCACATTAGCGTTCATTGAGTGTCCATAAGAACGGTGCACCTAATGTCCCGCACAGGTCGTGCCTTTATAATTTGTAAAAGAAGTTTAATTTATGAATTACATTATTTTGAAATTTTTTATTCTTGCATTAAAAAAAGTGAATGTTATCGAACGTCTAGTTCTCATTGTTCGCAGGCAATCCTCGAAATAAAACAGCCCTAACGCCCGGCCATAGTCTGATGGACTGGATCCGATTAACTAATTCTGGCGTCGATTTAACCGGCGTTGGTGGCGTCCCGCGAGTCATATCTCTGTCCGAGCTGGCCAACCATAACAAGCAGAACGACGCTTGGATCGCAATTCGAGGTATGAACCCAGCAATACCTCAGAAATTGAATTCCTTGAGATCCAAATTTATTCGAAATTTCTATTGAATTAAACATTCTTGAGAATGACTGGATCAATTTAAGGTAAATGCAAGATATTGACCCAAGTACAGTTAAAAAATCGAATTTCTTCATTAAGATCGAAATTTATTCGAAATATACATATGTATTATACAAGGTGACCCACCTAACTCTGCCACCCATAATTATTCTCTTATTTGTCACGATACAAAAAATGGTTCAGGAGAAAGTTAGTGTATTTTAGGGGGGGAATTAGTCTATGTGATTGAAGGTCATGTCAAAGTCATATCTTCTGAGATTTCTCTAATGGTAACATTTTTTTAAAATGTATTATCCTATTTTTTTTTGTGTGCCATTACAAACAGGAGATTAAAACGTATCCAATAATGTATTGCACTATGACCTTGAAATGACTTTGGACTGAAAATTTCACACGCAACTGGTTGAGGTGGAAGCTCACAGAAAATGAATTGCAGAAATAAAATAAATGCCATAATCGCAATAATTATTTTATCTCCTCTTTGTAGTGGCAAACAAAAAATAGGGCATTCCATTTAAAAAAACGTTACCATTAGAGAAATCTCAGAAGATATGACCTTGAGATGACCTTCAATCTTATAACCTAATTTCTTCCATAAATACTCTAACTTTCTCCTGATCCATTTTTTTGTACCGTGACAAATAAGAGAATAATTAAGGGTGGCCGGGTTAGGTGGGACACCCTGTATATCGAGTTAAAAATTTCTTGGGGTACGTCGACCAATTTGTGGCAAATTGAACATTCTCGAGGCTATAGAATATAATCAACCAGTTCCGGAGTTCTATCTACGCTTATTTTAACTCGGTCACAATAATAATTTACCCAGACCATAGGATCCGATCTCCGCTGATGAGATTACACATCGATCGCCGTTCTCATTTGCTAACACATTACTCCGAGCGAACCACTTAAGTGAAATTAACTCATACATATATGTATGTATTTGGTTGGTGTATATAAAACATCGTTTTCACAAATGAAACTTAAACCGCCTATTTTATAAACAAACGTTGAACGTAAAAAAATCGGATATTAGAGCCGCAGGCGTTTTTTCCTGTTCATTGCAAGAACTACGCAAATATCACCATTTCGACCATGTTAGAAGGACATTTATAGTGTGTTAGTCAAACGTAACACTTCTTAAGCTCTCAGATATTGAGCCTGATTTCAATGAAGACGATAATGATCAAAATGCAAATAACCATAAATGATAAAAAAATATTCAGACACGGTAGCCTTCGATGGTATCGCCTAAATATAGTGGATTACTGAGCGTTATACTCAATATTTAGAGACGTTTACGATTGTAAAATGATGTGTCAAACACAGGAATCGTCTTCAACGTGACACATTACATGGACTTCCACCCAGGAGGGATCAGCGAGTTGATGAGGGGCGTTGGCAAGGACGCAACAAAACTGTTTGAAAACGTGAGTCCAAGTAGTTCCTATCGCCACTCGATCAGTTGAGGGGCTCAAAGGAAGAGTGGTACAAGTGACACGACCTTTAATTTGAGAAAACTGTGGGTATAGTTAAACTTTACCAGAAAAATCTGTATACTTCCAAACATTATACCTCATTACTATACGCACTGTTATTAGAAAACACCTGTACCATCTTTTTCATATCTCGTTTTTTTTTTTAAAAATGTGTTCAATTTTTTTCCTGAGTCCCTCAATTGGAAAAGCTCTTTCGGATAAGCCACTCGAGCCTGTTGTCCAAATCACAATACAGCGGACTCTAACTACATTGCCACTAAATATATTGCCACGCGAAGCACTTCCCCCTCACAAGTACTTTCGACCACATAAATTCATTTCCCACCACGTTGCGTACGCTGGCGCACCAGCACGATCCAGCTTTTGCGTAGGCTCTGAGGCCGAGGCTATGACGATAGAACTTAGAATGGAGGGGGCTCTGAACTTACTGCCATTTTACTCCCCTACAGCCCCGATCATGGCAATGTAGTTAGAGTTCACTGTAATTGGGTCAAATTCAATTGACCGCCAAGGTTACTTCCTTATAAGTTTCTTATCAGACCAATAAGTTCAAATAAGACATTTCTGATCTTTCCTTTCGTCTGCCTTGTCCGGAAGGGTCCGAATGATCTCCAGAATTCGATGATTATTTTTACGTACCCATAGATCGTTCGTTGCAGGTTCACGCTTGGGTAAATTATCAGAGCATCCTTCAGAAATGCGTGGTAGGAAAGTTGAGCCGTGGTTCTATCAGCGGTCCTACCTTGCCATCAACAGAAATCACTTCCTCGAGCTCCACGGATTGTACCAACGCTACTTTGGGCCTGATTAAAAGTTGTACGAGTAAGTCAATCCATCTTATACAGGGTGTCTCAAAATAGCTTCGATTCCCAGAAATGAGGGGTTCCCGGGATGATTTGAAACAACTTGTTCCTTAGCAAAAATATTATCCGAGGCTCTGTTAACGAGATATTAACGAAAAACCCCGACCAGTCGTAGCGCCAGTATGTCAGCCGACTACCCGCGGTAAAGTTGGCTACGCGCTGAGATTGGTAGCCAACGCTACCGCGGGAAGTCGGCTGGCCGACTCGCGCTCTGATTGGTCGGGATTTTTCGTTAATATCTCGTTAATAAAGCCTCGGACAACATTTTCGTTAAGGAAAAAGTTGTTCCAAATCATCCCGAGAACCTCTCACGTCCGGGAGTCGCAGCTATTTTGGGACATCCTGTATAGTGTCTTTGAGTATAAAGGTGTAATACATAAAAAAGAAACCAGTAAATAATCGCTGCCATTTTTTACTTCCAGCGCGCAGTATTAGTCCAGAAAACGTAAACGAATGTAGCCCATCGAATGTGAAGATGGACTGGAGGCAAACGTCTAATTCGATTACATTGTTCTACCAAACGATACGAGATTATCCAAGCGTTTATTACCAACTGAGAAGGATAAGCGACTCGAAGCTGGTCTTCAAGTTGTTCTTCGAGAAGGATGTGATCACGCACGAGCTCGAATTGACGGCGGGCATTGAATGGCCGCCGGTTTGCAAAAGAAATTTTGATACCATGGAGGTAAATAATTTAATCTACTAGAATGAAAGTTTTTACTACATACTTCTGTGTGTCATTTCAAATCATAGAAATTTAGAATGTAGAATTTGATTAATCTGGGTTAGACGGCTAAAAGAATAGAAGAATTACTGGACGGAATATTGGTTGGTCAGGAGAAAACAAATTTGTGTTTATTTTCTTCTATATACCACTTATTCTACTTTAGATAATCACTGTTCAACACGATTTTTGATCTGCAATATCCATTGAGAGAACCTTATTAAGTTTCTCGTCCAGATCCCGAATCCTGAAGCAGAATTTCTCCATTTCCCTCAGTTTTTGAAAAATATGAGCCTTTGTAAAAACACCTGATTTTGAATCCGATACTATATATCAAATTTATGTTAGGTGAAGAACTTTTCGTAAAAATGCAAAAATAGTGCATAGAAAGTACGCTCATCGGTTCTTTTTTAAACTTTCACAGCAATCTACAACCATTAGAGATTACACAATTGTATAACTATATACAGTGTTATATTCAGGAAACTCTGATCTATCTTTCAAGATCAAATTGATCTTTCTAACCTTTTAGGTTTGACGTAATACGTCATTTTTGCCCAAAATCGGGTGTTCTTACAAAAGGTCATGTTTTTTTAAAAATTGAGGGAGATAGTCTCGTCGGACGAGAAATTCTGTAAGGATCTCCCAATGGATATTGCAGATCAGAAAAGAATGTTTAAATTTGTTGAACAGTGTAATAGAATAAAATTAATTGGAGAAAAGTTTATTAAATTGTGTTGATTGTGTAGGTCGACTTCACGTTCACTAAGAAGATAAAAGAGATATGGAAAACACAGGGTAGCCACACAATATCGCGGGAGCCAAATACTAGTAGTCGATCCTACAAAGAATACGAGGTACTCACGAATACACCGCTCTCTAAATTAGTTCATTTCTTGGTCCTACGAGCGAAGAATTCCTTGGAACTGGTACCCATTGGAAGACACGTAGAAATCAAAATGAACGTTATGGGTGGGTAATTACAACTTAAAATCTATGCTCTTTTCATGCCTAATTCTACCGATAATTTACCACTGATATCCTTGCATTTTTTCACCATTATTCTACATGCCCTCTAGAGTGTGTCTGGTTTATCTGAGAACACTTAAATATCTCAAAATATGTGAATGATACGAAAAAATGTTTCACACAAAAATTGTACGATATCGAATGAAACATACTATAATTTTGTCTATTCGACCTTGCGATGACCTTGAAACGACCTATGAAGGTCATATGAAAATTTTCAAATGGGAACCTGCATTTTTTATTACATACTCTGGTAACTAACATCGAGACATTTCCAAAGTACATACGTAGTAGTGTTTTGGAAACGTCTCGATGGAAGCTACGAGAGTATGCAATAAAAAATTTTAATGACTTTTACTGACTGGATGTGTTTCTGGAAATGTCGAAACCTCGAAACACGTTGAACCCCTAACAAGTTTCAACAATTCGAAACCTTGCACTTTTTAAGGTTTCAAGTCACCCTTAGACAAAAGTATAGTATGTCCATCTTTATATCGTACAATTTTTGTCCAAAACATTTTTTCGTATCGTTCATATTTTTCAAGATATTTGAGCGTTCCCAGATAAACCGAACACTGTATGTTGCAAATAAAATACGATCTTACAAATCAAAAAAGATATCTAACATGTGACAAGTTTGAAATTGATCTAACGTTTTAGAAGTCATCCAGAATCGATCTACCATTTGTTAAATCTCCTTCATCGATTAAGTAAACAATTGCCTAATGTTCTAACGGAAATCCTTCATTTTTCTTTCATTTTCAGGAATGGATGTATCACGATCGTATACGCCTGTCCCCTCGTGCCTTCACCCCGGCGATATGCCGCCGAATTATAAGTCCGACTGTATATGTTTGATGATCAAGAAGTACGAAAATGGCGCTCTGAGTCCGTCCATAACCAACCTACAGGCAGGCCAGACCCTTATGTTGAGCAACGCTTTAGGTGCCTTTGTAGTTGAATCCTTTGATCGTTATTCTGTCATTCATATTTTGGCTGGTGGCACGGGTTTGACCGTGATGCTTGGGATCATTCAGCGGGCCCTGGCCAGGCGTACCGTGTTAGTATTTATTCTTTTCTACTGTTCCACTTAAGTAGATTAAATTAATCTTTTTATCGAAGTTCTTATTTAATTGTGGTTTATCGAGTTGCATGCAGTCAACAGTCTATTCAAAAACAAAAGAAAGTTCTGTAGAACGTTGTATCTTGTAATTCTTCTAGGAAAACTATAAACCTCCTCAATTTCAACAAAGACAGTGACAACATGTTCTACGTGGCGCAGCTGGAAAAAGTTGGCATGGATAAGAAGTGAGTGCCTTGAAATCAATGATTGTAATTTTTATTATTACGTTACTAACTCGGTTTAAATAATTATTAGCTTAAACAATTGGTACTCCTTAGATTGAAGGTCACGCATATCCTTTCGCAAGCAGAAACTACATGGATGGGCAGACGTGGCACAGTGTCCTATGATTTAATGAAAGAGCTGATTGGAGAACATAGTCCTGAAGCGTGTATCTTTACCTGTGGTCCTCAAGGATTCCTCCAGGCTACAAAAAAGTAAAATTGACCTTCTTTTTAGACGTATTTGCGCTGATTGAACCACTACTTTCTAGCGGGAAAAAGTTGGATACAATAAATATTTGTTTATATACAGTAAAGACACTATAATTGTTCGAAATTTGGGACCGTATGCGCGCAATAAGCATGAAGGATCAACATTTACACCCCTTGTTACTTTCGCTCTTGGTATGTTCCCGGAACAAGAAAGGACATTGAGCAAAAAAACAGAGGAATTGAGTGTCAAGTCATCGACGAAGGTTTAAATGCCCGCGTATCGGTGAGACAACACTAATACAACAATGAACTTATTTAATTTTTATTTTTTTTCCAACGAAACTTTCTAATGTATTTGTGAGATTTTTCTGATTAAAACAAGATCAAACACGGTATAATTTGGACCATATTTACTTATTGATCGTTTACAGCACTTAATCAATATCAATAGGTAAATATAATTCAAATTATATCGTATTTGATCTTGGTTTAATCAAGAACATCTCACAAATACGTTAGAAAAAGTTTCATCGAAAAAAATAAAGAGGTTCATCGTTGCATTAGTGTTGTCTCAGACAGTGTGTAAATCTTTCTGCGCAGCTAACGCGGCTTTACTGTATTTATCCAAATATACCCAGTACCATAATATTTATGTTAATACAAATCACATTATATTCATATTTAATACAAAACTTAATGCAGCAGATCCTTTTGTTCATCATTAAGCTATTAATACAGAATTATTATTATACTGTTTTCAGATTTATTCAGAAACTCGGCTGGAAACCCTATCAAACGTACGATTTTGACAACTAGCCATCTTCAGCGAAAGTATATTCTCCCTTTTGATACCAAAAACTCTAGTAGTCGAGCTTTTATTCGAAAAATTATTTACGCGTACTTCTAGGTTCTTACAAGATAGAGCCATTTTGGGTATTTTTACTCCTATTTCCGCCCACACTGTCGATAATTCGTGTGGTTCGATTGAAAACGATTCATCAGTAGTGCCAGTGAAGGCACTAATTGATAAGAAGCATAAACATATTGTCGTTCTAGTTCTTAAGTGTTTTATTACAGCTACTTTGATCACCTCGAATAATGATTTAACGGTACACTTTATGAACATTTTGAGACGTGGAACTTAAATGGCATCAAGGGGCACATTTTATAATGTACGTGCTTTATTTGTGGGTGGAGGCATTTCAGAGATTTCAAGGTCACCTTCATTTTTTTAACGGAATAACCTATTTTTTATATCATAGATCGATAGAGTATCAAATTCTGAATAAAAGTGTGTTGACCTGCATATGTCCTAAACCTAATAGTTAACGAAATATTTACGTAAAATTTTCATAAAGTGTACCGTTAAGTCATTATTCGAGGTGATCAAGTTAGCTGAGACACCCCTTATAATAGACTGCACGGTCTTATGGGAGGCTTGAAACCGACACCAAAGAACAGAATGTCTATGCTAGTTTCTAAACTAAGAAAACTGAGTTTAAAGTTTATGCAGTTTAATATTATAGAAGCAGAAAAGTAGTAAAACAATAACGACAGACACTGTAATATCATCTAATGAATAGTTATTTATTACAATTTTTAATTGTTGTTAGTATTTCGAGATACAACCATTAAGAAAAAAAACTCAAAGTTTCTCGGATTCCACTCAGAGTTAGGATTTAAAAGAATATTTGTTGTTTGCTCAGTTGAATTTTCTTTATATCATGGTGAATTTGGATTCTTTGAACCAGTGAGACGCACGTAGATTGATTAACTAAATTTTTTTGAAAATGGAGTTAGGACAGTTGAGAACTTGTGCGACGATATGTATCTATGTAGTAGACTGTGCAAGAGAGGACAACAACAAAAGTCGTTGCCTCTCTTTAGTGGGAGGGAATATTTTACGACTGTAGTGATGAGTGGGAATGCAATGGGGACGCGGCTTTATACATGTAAATATAATATAAGTCTATGATAAACAAGTCTACTAAAAAACTAAATTACAACCCCAACCCATTTTACCTCCGTTCGAAAAAAAAATTCTTATAAATGTCGAGGTCAACTCGTGTGCGATTTTAACGAGATTTTTAGTTCTGTCGCGATGCTAGATGACTAAAATTGGAGAATATTGACACCTCTTACATTTTTACTAGACATGTCTGACTTGCATTATTACCAACTAAAAGTACACAATTTCACTCAAGTTTCCGGACTGGAATCAAGACAATGATTTTTCATAATATTTGTGCCGTTTATCATTCATTATTCAAAATTGTTTCACTTTATAGAGATACACTTGATTTATTGATGAATTAGTCTAGTGATGACTATCTTAAAGTATTCGAGATGTTTGCTAAGTTGTTATAACTGTTGTGTACAGTGTATCGTTTAAGAGAAAACTATTTTGAACTACTTGTAATGAAGGCCATCTAGAGCTTATGAAGAATGCCTGTTTTAATCTGTTTCGAAGACTTTTCGACAACTTATGTACATATGCATATTTCTACACGATGAATATCTCGAGAGCTACACTCATTATCGAAACATATACAAAACTTTGTATCATATCTAGTAAATTCGACGAAAAAATAGAAGTACGGGTCTGAGATGAAAGTCATAAGTTCTACAAAGGTATAAAGCAAGTGACAACAAATTTTTTATGCAAATTGAAATTTAACTCCACAATCGCGTTATATACACCCTAAAGAGCTGTATTTTTAACGATTTATCCGTGAATATCTCTGTACAGGAATATATTTTAAGACACAGGCCAAATTTAAAACACGGATGCTATATTCATTCGAAAATAAATGTTTGGTTCATACTGAAAAAAAGAATAACGATAAATTAATTTACCTGTGAAATAATTAAATATAGTAAGTATAATTAGAAGCACCAAAAATAGACGATTTTATCGAAATATGGAACTGTATGAAATTTAATATTTTATATGTTAGAGATAAGTAGCAACTTGGCTTTTTTGGTTGCAAAGATACATTTTGTGCCAAAAAGATCTTTAGTTTTAAATCTTTTAATAGAAAGTTGAATAACAACGTGGCCTATCTAGAGAAACATTATAAAAATACCAGTATGTATGTCGATCATCAAAATTCCTATCGATCTTTTCAGTTCATGACACTCTTGAAGTAAAAATTAAAGAAATTTATAAGTAGACAAACATAAAGTACCTCTTAGAGATTTTCATTGATCACATTTATTCATATTTGACCGCGAATAATTCGAAGGCTCTGGTTTTTGTTTTAAAATTTTATTTGTGACTAGTATATAATTATCTCGGAAAACTCTATTTTTTAACCGAACATATACAAATATGGACCACTTACTGCATTTACGTACATGTTACTTTGCGCATATGTGTCTGTATATGTATGTACATACCTAGTTGTTATCAGAAATAAATGAATATTTGATGGCTCCATTCTCGTATTTTTATGTTACGTTTTAATGTAATACAAAATTATCCATTTTTTCTGATTAAATCAGTTAAAATAAATAATATTTTCGATGTCTTTACTACATACAATCATACATACAATATACATACATAGATATATGTATTTAACAAAATTAATAAACAGTATAAAGCATTAAATAATAATACGGCACACAGCTCACTAGACGAGCCGAATCAAACCGAATGCATCCGAAGCTAACCGACGTAGATCTAACGACAGCTGCCTTTTCCCCTCCAATCCTACGGTCCCCTCGCCCGGAGTGGTGGCTTATGCTCCGTCTATACTATGTAGTGTTGTTAAAATGAGTCTCGAGTCTTGAGCTTTAACAGCTCGAGTCGCGGTTCAAACCCTAAAGGTTCGAAGCTTGAGTCGTGAAAGCTCGAGCCTTTAAGCTTGAAGGCTCAAGTCGTATAAATTGTATGTAGTGAAGTAATGTGCAGACCTTGAGTTTTTGAAGCCTTAAAATTTAACCTAAAAGTTTTCAGTTTTTAACTCTGATATTACACGAATCTCAAGCTTTTAAAGCTTCAAGGGGGAATAATCCAAAAACGTCCAGAAAAGCGTGGTTTTTGTAAATTAGTTCTGCAACACCCAAACCTCATTAAACTATTACTAATAGGGTGATCAAATATATATTTTGGACAATACGTTAAATTTTCTTTTATTACAAAATACGTATGTATACTTGAGCAACATATACGAGTCATAGGATGTTACACGTCGAACAAAATAGTTTCTCAATTTGTTCACGGTTCATTGATCTGAGAGACAAAGTTGAGACATTTTTTCGTTATTCGCGTGAATTTCGACTTAATATTCTAGTAGAATATTTTCGAAAAATTATACTTTGAAAGTATATATAAAAAACTTAATTTTTTCCAATTGTCGCTGTGTACCACATTAAGTCTGAAGCTTTAAGGTTCAACCCTCTAGAACCCTTAAGTGTTAAATAATGGAATTAACACTAAATCTATAACATTATACTTTATACAGTTTTTAAAAAATACAGCCATGACTGCAAACACATGAGAGATTGATACCAAGAAAGGGAAATGAAAAATGAAACAAAATAACCATTGAATAGTAGACGAAATAAAACATTGCTAAAAAATTGTCTGTAATGTACAAAATATAGTATTATCGACTGAAAACATACTCTTACGCCGTGGGAGTCATAGATGACCGACAGCAAGATTAATGTACTACGCATGATAAGTTTGCACAATACATATAATCATATTGTGTAATATATTATTATATGATTCTAATGGGCAATCACTCTTCGGCGCTGAAGACGAAACCAGCAGAAACACGCTCGGCAGTGAACGTGTTAGCTTCGAGCTTCGAGACCCGAGCCTTGAAGCTCGAGTTTCGAGCTTCAAAGACTCGAGCTTTATACAACACTAGTCTATACATATATGCTATGTCGAATTTATCGAACACTCATGATCCGACAACATTGCGTACTTTAAACTTTGAGAACACTGTCCAAATGTGACTAATTCAGCTAGAGTCGAGTTCAACGTAGTTCTTAAATTCGCCGTTCTCAAAACGTAGAGGTCAGTAAAATCACAGGTCTTTTCTGTGTCGGTACTACAGTTTTAGGTGGGCCACCAACTCCCGTAAGGTGAAATGTCTACTCCTATACCTCGTCTGTGGTAAAGGGTTGTTATTGATTATGTATTTTCGCTAGCGTCCGTTTGTTTACATCTGCGCTTCGATCGATTCAGAGTTGGCATAAGGAGTCTCCCCCCTTAAATATCGTCTATAAATCACAGCCACAGCTTCTATATATATATATAGAATTTGTGCTATAAACACGCTTTACAGCACTTTACAGTAAGGATGTGAGATGAAGGGGTGGTGTATGATTCTCGTTCATTTTCTTATTGCTTGGAAAATATCGGACTAATTTGCGACAAAACTCAGTTTGGTCGAATACAATCAAACGAACATCCGGCTAAACGGAGTCGTGCAGGAACGACGAAGAAAAACGCCATAAAGTTTTACGGTGTCAAAGGAACGCAACAGAGGTTAGCTTATTAAACACACTACCCTAGTCAGTTAAGATGGCAGACGTTGTTACAGGGTGGTGGTACAAGTGATGTCATTGATATCAATTTAGTTGAAACATTTAACGAAGAAGCAGCAGAAGAAAAGCAATTCTCATGAATAGCAGTGTTTGCGAGCAGAGAGACTTATCTTATCGGTTTTATTTCAAGTATCGTTCGAGAGTAGGTGAACAGTCAATTGCTTATATGAGAACAATTGGTATTTCGTATGTATATATATGGTGATTCATATAAAGTGTTACACAAGTGGTTTTTATTGAAACTATCGGAGACATTCTTTTCTTGCATACTGAGGGTCCCAGTGACTTCTTGCATAAGATTGTACATGTCTATACGCTATTGTACAATATCCCGACGACAGTGGTAAAATATTTACTGATCTAGGCAAAATTTACTTGAAATAACAATTTCGAAAAACATTTTAACTTTGATTATACTAATTTGAAGTTTGATTAACAAGAAGAGTATAAATACATTACTATCTTACTATATACTATGTTAACAGTTACTTCTACCACAAACAAATAAAAAATAAATTTCATATTTTAAATAAGTATCTTTAATTGTATAGAATATTTCATGAAATATTGATGTAATTTGCGACATGAATTGTTTCTCTAAAGTTTTGCAAACTCTGAAGATTATATCCTAGGTTGTCCATCATGTTTCTGTCAAATTATAAATTCATCAATTTGTGAGCACTCTATTTAAAAAGAAATACTATTACTTAAAACTATGTTTTTTAATTTTTATAATTATAGGACTGGAACAAAAATTATCTTTCTTCTAAGAATCTGTTTTGCAAATTTAGTTGCAAATTCCTTTAAAACAGTTATTTAAAACATTCATAATAATTAAACTATATAAAAATTTGCTGTCTCCGGTGGTTTCACCGAAAATAAATGTAGCATTATATGTGAAACACACTACATTTAGATTCCTCAGCACTGTTCTCTGTGCTCACTCTGTCCTCTTTCTGTCCTCGTTCGTTAGTTCTTTCCCTCCTCTCTGTTTGTTCATAAACATTAGAGTACCTTCACTCTGTTTGGAATGAGTCTTTCAAAGAATAAAATTGAGTGGCTTGGAAAATACAAGTTGTTTGCTGTATCTCGACCGAAAACTGACGTACTATCTCATCACGATTAAAGGATTGACAAATTGAGAGCATGATAAACGAAGAAATAAATATGTGGAGTTTGTAAATTCGTTTCGTACATTATTTACGAAGGTAAGCAAATTACACATACACAGATAATGCAGTCAATTAAAAAGTGTTGATTTCGATCTTTTCCGTACCTCGTAAAATGATATCCCTGTGTATCTAGCTTAAATGATCTGCCGTACTTAAAATACTCTTATGTCAATGAGTCCAGAGATTGTGTATTTTTAATAAATTAGAAAGAATATTATTTAGTGCGAATAATTTTCATCTTTTTATCGATCAAAAAGTAGGTCATCCAGATAAAGACCGAAAAAGCCTGTTCTGCATTCCTTGTGTATTAATGATTTAAAAGTGTGTGAATATTGTTAAAAATGTGTGCCAATTAATAATGAAGTTCTTCCTTGATGTTATGATATCAGTTGTAATTTATTAAAATCTTTGATATTTTGAAATCTTGATCTCATGATCTATATCTATTGTAAATATTTTATCATTTTTAAGGACAAGTATTTTATCTATGAAATGATATCTATTATCTTATGCTATATTATATACATTCCATATACCAACAATAATTACATACATAAATCTATTTCTAACAGAGTTACTGCAATGTCTAAGAAGACTAATTGTAACAAAATGTTGATTCATCAATTATCATCTGTCCTACCTGATGATAGGCCAATCACAGCCATAAGTGTTGTTGAAGATATAGATAAGTGTCCACCAAATTTTACAGTGGTAAGTATTTTATGTTCTGTTTTACATTTGTATTACAATCATTTTTATTATTTTTCTTAATTTGCATAGGTATCTAGAACATACGATCAAGACACGGATGCAGATTTGTGGAGAGAAAGTGGACTGTTTATTAAAAAGAAAGGCAGATACATATGTTTTTCAAAGACTGAAGGATTGCCTCATTGCATAGTTGAAGATGTAGTAGTCGTTAATGAGCGAGATTCTCCTCCTGAGGGATACATCACGATTTCATATACTGTAGATTCAAGTGAGCATACGTAAGACAGATCAGAATATCGTTTATTAGAATACCATTTTTCTCTAGTACATTTTCATAATCTGTTTTAGTGCAGAAGGCATGGAGAAAGAAACAGTTGTGCTATAAAATTAGAAATAAAGAATTATGCTCGAAAGCAGTTACGGATATTATTATATGTAATAGGGATATGCATAAGGTATATACATCTAAGATGGCTCCAAATGGTTTTGTAGCTGCTGGGTGAGTGTCAAGGCTTCTGACCTTGTATATATGTGGCGTACATATTTAATTGCCATTTCTATTTAAAGTTCCAATTTTACAGTGTCATAAACGGAGTTTGTGTTTGCTACAAAACTGTGGACATTGCAAACGGGAATTCTAGCTCACAATCATACGTTAACATAGAGTAAGCATTTATTTCGTTAAAAATTCGTTCGATTTGTTAAGATTTTTAAATGTTTGATATTTTCTTTCATTCAGTTTACTTCAAAATGCATCTCCAAATCCATCAAATGGAACGCTTCGTAAAATACCTCCTGAAAGGCCACCAAAACCAACAAATGGAATTTATCCACAAATTGGAGGAAATGCGGGAAAGGACGTAGACGAGTCTAGCGATAGGGATCACAAAATTTTAAGCCCTAGTGCAAGAATCAAGCCCACAAGACCTGCCCCACAACCACCAGCAGTATTGGTTGCAGGTTCCACATCAATTTATGGTACACTGCCAGGGTCTTCAGATTTAGATGGAGTTCCATTTGTTCTTAATCCACGTCTTACTGTTCATTCTGATTCCTCTACTGTAAGTAATCTTAACGTTTAACTTATCAATTGGTCGTTACTTATTTTTAACGATTATGTAATCAAAATAATGTTATTTATAGAATAAACTTCCTGTGATCAAAGTCTGGACTCAGAAAGATTTGGACAAGGAGGTAAGATAGAGCTTTAAACTAATAACTTTTACTTAAACGGTATGATAATACTCTTATGATGTATTGTTTTTTGTTACTTTTTAGTTCTTTCACGATTTCCGTGCGGAAAGAGAAACTTGAAGAAGCCACTGTGCCAAACTAATTGTGTGACTCATCATACAATTTCCCCGCTATATTTATACATCTGTATTGATTATAGCACTAGCCAAGCGTAATAGAGTGCCTGAACGAGTGATTACTAACCTGCAAAAATGCATATCCTTTTAATATGTATCGGTGAGATGATCTTCGAATTTCATAATGTCCGTCTTCTGATATATTTTTTTTCTTCCATGTCCTATTTAGATTTTGATACCACTGACAGTTAGCATTGTATTTTTATAGAGTTGCGTTGTATTTTTATAGATATTAGAAGTTATATATAATTGTATCATATGTTCTAGTTGTTTATAAATCATTACAGAATATTTAACATTGTACTGGTGTACTTCTATTTCTTAATCAAATGCAAGGTTCTTTCAATAAAGTCATCTTTAATTTTATTTCCAACAAAAAAAAAAGAAAACAAGTACATTCTCATTTTTATCCTCAAGTTGACTTGTATCGATACGTATAATTAGTAGGGTACGGCACGTGACACTTTTGTAACGCGCATAGGTTTTGTCTTTTATTCTGTTTACAATGTGAAACAAACGTTTACCCGTAATTAGATGCTTTGGAGGTGAACTAATGGTAAGAAAATATTTATACTTGTATTTACACATCCGATTGTAATATACAGATAAATGTTTGAAATTTGATCGTTTATTTCCGGTAAACACATACTATAGTTTATGTAGTAAGGATTTAATTACGGGTTTATTATGATACAGATTGATTTAAATACAAACGACAGATTTCATTCATTCTTCGTATTTTACTATGCATTCGTATATAACTTTCAACAACATAATATTTTAAGTCTGTATTTTCTATGGTAGAAAACAACAGAACAAAAAAAATGTTCTCACAATAAAAATATTTTGACGTCAACAAAATTTACAACGCGATCTCACAGCAAGAAAAGCTAAGCTGGGTCACTATGAATTACTTAATTTACTATTTTCATTAGTGATGCTATGTATAAATACGTATGAAATATCTTATTACAATATACAATACATACATTGAAATACTTTTCAAATGAAGGCCACCTATAAATAAATTAATTCCTATGTCTGTCGCATTTTTTGCGCAACAACATGTGAAAAACAATTGCATTAAAAGAAGAATATTCATAATAATTTACAGTATTACATTTTGCTCTCGACTTAAAGATTAATTGCGTCCATATGGTACAGTTTAAGTTCTCACAGTCTCTGATACTCATTTCTGTTCATTTACGAAAAATTCTGGGAATAATTATTTTAAATTCATCTCCCTTCGTCACAAGTTTCTTGTCGAAACAGATTCGTTGGAAAAACTCGGGCCAGCTGTCAGACGAACGGTCCAGTCCAATGTCTAACATGAGTGGTAGTATTGTTGGTAGTGGATACACCATGTTTCTCTAATATAGCAGTCGCTTTAATTTTATTCTTATATTTCACGTCTTTCGGTTTCAACATACTTTTATGATTACTCAGCAGCCTTGAGGGCGTCAGTATAGATTTATTGCTAAGACCTGTTGCTTCCAGAAAGTGATCGTAACCACTATTAGAATTTGCTGTACTAAGAGGAACATTATTATTGTCTTTGGTTATGGCAGTTTTTTCGTTCTGACTAATCGCGGTTCCAAGATTGCCAAGCCTCTCCGAACCATCGCCCTCCGGCCTGTCCGGATCGTCGGATAAATCGCAATCATCGAGATTAAACTCTTCGAAGTTTTGTCTAATGTCGAATTCCTGATCGAACTCGGGGTGAACGTGTTTTTCCTTTGTTTTATTTCTTTCTTTCGTTTGCTCCTCGGAATCACCGCCAATCTTGAATTCTTCAAAATGGCGAACGATGTTTGTAACCCTCGGTGCGTTTCTAGTTTGTTCGCCGTTAGTTTCGTGATTGTTTTGTCGCGTTTGAAACGAGGAACGAACGTTATTAAATCTGTTTCTCCAGAAATTTCCCTCTTCGTTTGTCCCCGCAACTTTATTAATAGCTTCTTCGAAGTTTAAGCTTCTTGCTGAGGTTATGTTAATTCCCGCTGATTTCAACGGGGAGGATATGAAACCGAAAATTTTGTTGCTGTAGTCGGAAGACCCAGACTCTAGCAATTGCTGCTTCTTCCGTGTTTCATCGATCAGAAATGAGGGACTAGGAATTTTTTTTAGGATTAATGTATTATTTTTGAATTGTGGTTTAGGCGGTAACGCCGGCGGCGTTTTAGGGGATGGCGGTACAATCTCTGGCAATGATTCAATATCCTCGTAATCAAGGTTCTTCGCTATAGTCAGTCCTTTCGCAGACATCTGTAGACATGTCTTTTCCTCGATCCTTTCCAACTTCAGGGGTGGATTTATTGGACTATCTGACGTTTTCGTTTTCTGTATCTGCGAAGAGGGAAATGTATGTCTTGCTTCCTCAACTTCTACCTTTGGTTCTATTATTACAATTGGAATAGCTTTCGATTCTGGAGATTCTTCGTCCAAACTGGACCCTTGGCTGGTGACATTTGTTGTAACACTCGTAGAAACAGTGTGAGTAAGAGTCATTCCAAACTCATCTTCTGCAGCAGTGGGCTCAAAACTGTTGGTTGGAACATCATTGATTTTGGTAGATGGTACTTCTTGCTCTATGGTAGCTTCTTCAGAATTTTTCCTTTCCATTTCAGAACCGACAGACTCAATATCAGAGAGCCTTGCTGGTTGAAACCGTACAATTTTTCCTCGATGCCTGAACCTTCTAGGCACGGAAATAATGCGTTCCTCCTCCTCCATATCTCTCAGAAGAATCTGGTTCACGCATTCCAAGACGGAATTGTGGTTGCTATTTGGTCGATACGCACTGTGCCTGAAAACATCGTCATTGATTCTGTCCTCGTCCGGATCGCTGTACCAGTTCCCGCTGGTTTCTTCGACGTTCTGTTCCTTGATTTCTAGTTTCCGGGCTCTGAAAGATTCCATTAAAAGGTAATTCAAGCTAAATGTTTCATTGCCAAAAATTGTGTTAATTACAACTAATCAATAGACTGCGGATTTTTATGTAAAATCACATTTTAGAAAGACAAAAACGAAAGTAGAAATTTCTTTTTTCCCCTAAGTATCTTACTGGGTCCAAAAGAAAATAGAAAACTCGTTGCACCTGACGAAAGTGTTGTCCTTAATTATATTTCACAGATATAAATGCATAAAATCCGCAGTCTACTAATCAGTTTTTTAAGATAGTTAGATAAAATAACTGTAAATTCAGTAGGTATCCGTAAGATTATTACTTTACTTTTGCCTAGTACCAAATGACGGTTATAGATATCATGTCATAATGTCTTCCACAGTTTCCGTTTTAATGTTTTCATAGAAATTTCATACATATTGAGAACGACAAATTTAACAACTAACAGCCAATAAAAATAAATACAGCAGCGGATAAGTATAGAAAAACAAAACTAAACCATAATATGTAAGCCATGAGCGATAAGATTCACAGACATCTGTTCAATGATTATAGAATGTTTGACAACAATTATTCGGATATTATTAATATCAATACTTACATGCTATTTTCGTTAGTCTTGTTACTACCTCCATCATCATTGCTGTTATTATTACTATAATCCCCATTAATTTTCGCCTCAGAAATGGTAGTTCCAGCCTGCTCCAAATTCCTAGTATTGGTCTCATTGCAAGCGTTGACATAAATAGGTTCATGTTCCTTTTCTTCGTCTTCGGATGCAAAATTACAGTCCATTCCATCGTCCTTGCTCTCGGTTCTTGAGATATTTGTCATCTGTATCGCTTCCGTTTCCTTGCATGCTTTCTGAGGTTTTAATCGACCGATGCCCATCTTTTTCGGGAGTAATTTTGTGCATTTTTCCACGATCATGGTCTCGTCGTCGACATTGTCGTCAAAAATCATCGTGGTCTCGTTCTCGCTGTCGGTGACCATTGTCGGTGTACATCTACTTGGTTTGTTCAACGTCGATCCCGGTGAGACGTCAGTACTCTCGCCTTCGCAGAAACCTTCTGTGCTTATCAACGATGGGCTGCCATCCGTGGTTGTCGTGATAATAGACACGTCCGTGTTCTCGCTACTCGTTAGACTCGTTTTCGAGATATCGCTGCCGGCGAAGCTGTAAGTCTTTCTCACTCTTCTGTCCAAGTCTTCGTGAGCAACAGGTACTTCCGACGGGTTCAGCTTCGTGATTATTTCGCATTTAAGCGTCTGAATGTCCTTGCTAATACTACTATCTTGTCTGGGGTCCACCTGTAATTGCGACATTAGTATTTCGATTGCCTCTTAATGATCACTCTGATAGGTAGCTACTGCTATGAACATTGGAATTTAATTTAAAAAAAAAGATATCAATGGTAAACTTTGTGCTTGTATACACATGTATGTACATGTTTCACTAATAAGTTATACATGGTGTTAAGAACAACGGCCCAAGACTTTATGGGCTTATAGTTCTCACTGAGAAGAGTAAATAATTCCTAACCTATATAGGTCTTCAAATATAACTTTTCACTGTAAAATTTACTTCCGTAGTTGCGAGCTCTTGGTAACGTTAAGTGAGTCTCTTCGCAATTTTACTATTGTAGAGAAGGAATACTGTATTTATAAACTTACTTCAACATTGGACGATTGTAGATGGCATTCATCGATTTTGCTCGTCGTCTCGACCGCGATTGAGGAATTGCCGAGGATCTGCTCGCGTTTGCACTTGATGTAATTTTTTGTGTAACGCCTGAGCCTCGCGATCTCGAGCTGCTGGTTCCTGATGACATTGTCCTTTTCGCAGAGCAGCTGCCTGATCGATTTCTGTTCTTGCTTGAGACGCGCCTCCAGGACGAGCAAAGCGCGAAGTATTCGCGAGAGTTGTTGGTCCCGAAGACTCCTCTCGGACTCATGATCCACGGTACGACTGTCCAGCTCTTTCACCAGGTCGCGACACCTCTTTGTGGCCGCCTTCAAGGCTTCCTGGGTACGAACGAGCTCTTGCTTCAGCGTTCGTACCTCGGTTTCCATCTGGAATATGTTATACGGAATTGTTACATATACTTTTACATTAGTGTCATTCTACGCGAAATCGGACACTTTTTGGCGCACTATATCGGATTTTGTTCAAATTTGGATATGTTGTAGTCTTTAGCGATATATAAACGTATCTCGAAGGATTATTGAATATTTTTTAAATTGTTAATTTTACAGTTGTTTGAAATTTAGGGTCAACCTTTTTTTCAATAAATCATAACTATTGAACTAACAAACTGATCAAACTGAGCTTTGTGGGTACTTACAGTGGAGGCAGAAGAGTACCAAATAAAAATTATTTCAGTTAAAAAAAATATATTTTAATTATTTATTTTGCAATTGTTCTAAATATATGCCCTGTCTTTATACTGGGGAACTATTTAAATTTTGAAA